GTAATTAGATGTGTCGTAGTATTGTTTTGAGCGCGATAGGGCCGAGCGTGATCACCACAGGGTCCGCGTCCACTGGACGACGACATGCTCGCCCTCGCCGATGACCACCCCGACGCGTTGCACATGCTCCTGGTATCGCTCTCCACCGCCACCATGAGCAAACACCAGCTGCTCGCATGGATTAGGCCGAAGCGCAGCCCATGCCGTAAACCTGGTCCAACCTGAAAAAGATGGTAAAATTAGGTGGTGTTAAGTAAAAAGAGAAACTTAGCCCTAGCCCATTATGCCACATTGGTCATTATAGGTGGTTCAAGATGAAATTTACTCAAACAAAAACTCAAAACGATAAGTATTTTGGGACGGAGGTAGCATGGTATTTGGCAAAATAGGTATTTTCAAAACAAACAAGCAGAGAATCGGACGCATGTGCTCTTAGCCATTGCTATGCATGCTACAAGTTGTCAGTCTAAAGTGGCCACGTGCCTTTTTTTTTCTTTTTATTCCTAACTCATAGGTTACTTTTTTTTAAGATAAACTCATAGGTTACTTCTGTAGCTAGTAACACAAACATGCTAACATAGCTCAAAATGATTTTTTTCCTTCTAATTACTTGTCAAACCTTGAACCCAATCACATATTGCATTCATATTGCATTCAAATGTTTCAGAAATATACAACATCCAAAACATATTGACTGCAACACTAACAATCACTATATGAAACATCTAGTCCCAACTAGCGAAACATAAAAAAAAAACATATGAAGCATATAATATACTTACAAAATACTTGATTTTACTAAAATATTCTTATATTATGCATGAAACATCGTATTGTAATTGTTAAAACATAAAAAAATATTTGCTAAAACATAGAAAAACAACGACATTGTAAATGAATCAATGAAACATCAACAAATACTTATAGAAAGTTTGAATCATCCCATTAACATGGTGTGCAATGCTAAAACATAAAGAAAATCGACGGAATATAGTCACGTGAGATCTTGTTATAAAGATTTATAATAGTGACGAATCCAACTATATAATTAGTTCGTAGTTTGAATAAATAGTTAAAGAGAAAAATATCCTAATACTATGAATCTAAATAGATATCATATTAGTAGTAGTAGTAGTATGTGTCGTATCCGGTACTAGGTTTGTTTATTTTGGAACGGTATGGCTATAAATGATCACTTCACCAGTGAGACTTGTTTGGTTTAGGTGGGCGTTTGTACTTTTGTTAGGATTCAGAGCCTATTTGATTGCTACGCTAAGAGGAATGTGCCTAGCCTAAAGTAAGCTGGAGAGCTGCCTATGGGTTGTTTGGTTACTACCATGGTTGTTAAGGCGTTGCCGTAGCGTCGCCATAGCAGTAAGACGGTTGCAGAGGTCAAGGCGTCCACTCTGTCTTATGTTTCCTCCACTTTAAGAGGCAAAACGAGTAGAGAAAGGGAAAGAACAGGAAAAACTAGTAGAAAAAGGGAAGGAAGAAGAGGTAAGCTCATCATGGAACCTACTCCCTCCATCTCGAAAAAAATGAATCTTGAACTGGATGTGACGCATCCTAGTACAACGAATCTGGACAAAGGTATGTCCAGATTCGTAGTACTAGGATGTGTCACATCTAGTACTAGGTTGGTTTTTTATGAGACGGAGAGAGTAGTTAGTTTGTAGAGAAAGGGAAAGAAGAAGCGGCCAGAGACATTGATGGTAGCTGGTGCCTGGTGGAGAACGATGTCTCTTAAGGCATAAAACATGTGGGTATGAAGACTAATGTTGGGCTTTGGTGGGCTGGTTGCGTGGCTTAGTGACCCTTTTACCAATTTCCCCTTCTCTTCCTAATTTCTCTACCATATCCTCCACTAATCACGCCTCAACCATCTCATAAGGTGTCACAACGCCTTACGCCTCAGCGCTATGGTGCAGTGGTGGGTCGCCTTAAACCGCCTTACCGCCTTAACAACACTGGTTACTACCTTTGTATTCTCCTAGGCTTAGGCAGTTCCATGAGGCTTAGGCCACCAAAATGGTCGGCTAACTCAGACAAGCAATGGTTCCTCTCCCTGAGCTATTATTACTGGTGAAACGTCACCACTCGCGTCCATGTTAATTCTTGATCCAATTAATTCCATTTCACCTAAGCACTGCCTTCCCTAACTGAACAGAACCCCTTCTCCAATTCCAAGTTCTCGCAAGAGCACTGTCACCTCGCTCACTGTTCTTCTCCATTGCCGGTTGAACATGTCTAGCCCATCTTGCCACATCTATATCTCTGATGTATTCACTAGTGAGCTCGACGGGCCATGGTGCATTTGTGCACGTCCAATTTGTACTTATAACTCCATTTAGAATTACATCTTTAGGTCCCATTGAACTCAAGGATGACCGGAAATGATTCCCCTCGGGGCCCCAACGCACGAGAAAAAGATCGGGCGCTCTATCAGTCCATCCTCCACGTGTCTGATTGGAGGAGACCAAAACCACTACAAAACCGGATGCTCTCCTGGCCACTCATTCTCAAATCATCTCTCTCCCTCTGCATTCTTTTCCATTCCCCTCCTCTCTCTCTTTCTCTTTCTCTTTCCCTCCTCTCTATCTTCTTGCCTCGTTTATGAACAGCAAAGATACCTTCACCGTGCGTCTTCGGTGAGGTCCTGTGACTTCTTCTGCAAGTGGTTCCGCCTATCCATGGAGGCCGCGAGTGTCGTCACAGCGTTCCTTGGTGAGATGAACGTGGTGGTGCGGCCGGTCAGAGGGGTGGCCTTTAACGAGTTGGCAAAGCGGTTCGGGATGCACAAGTGGTTGTGGGCGTTGTGTGGCTGTGCAAAGCGTTAGCGCCGTACTCTATGTGCTCGTCGGTCAGCTGGAGGAAGATGATAGCCGCATGTGGAGCTGGAGGTGGTGTGTGGCTTCAGTTTGCCAGCGAAGATGGCGCAGCAAGGGCTCAAGACCAATGACAATGAGGTGAAGAAGGGTTGGGGACCAACGGCTACCCACATCGATGGAGTAGAAGGGCAACGTCTCTGTGGATTTGCAGCAGAGACCGGATGAGCCCACTCGAGAGGAAGAAGAAATCAGATCTGAACTGGTATGTTTTTATGAGTTTTTGATGTTTCAGCTAATGTATCTGGATGTTTCTTGGGGTTTGATCGAAATATTACACTTGATATATACTTCGATGGTGTTTCATATTTTTTTTGTTTACGACTCTTGTAATTTGTTGATGTTTCAGTCAATGTATCTGGATGTTTCTTGGGGTTGGATCGAAATATTGCACTTGATACTTTGATGGTGTTTCATATTTTTGTTTACGACTCTTGTAATTTGTTGATGTGTTAGCTGTTGAAGCTTGATGTTTCATCTATGAGAATAATATGTTTGAATCGTGATTAAACTGTGTTTCATCATTTAATAGTCTGAAACATTTTTAATTTAGTGGTGAAATATTTTTTTAGTAGCGGTGAAACCACGCCCGATTTATAGTTGTCCCTAAGGATGACATGTGGCTTTGATAGATAGGAAAGATGCAGGAATAACTGTTTAGAAGACTTGGATAATAAGAGAAATAAAACAAAAAGAACTTCAAGTGATTAGACCTAATGCTAACTTTTCTCTAAAATCACCATGCATTGAGTGTATACACAGGATCACAGGAATATGCATCAAGTGTATACACAGGAATTGGATGAGAGTGATTTTGAAAGCTCTAGGAAAATTTCATACAGGATTTCAGTACTACAAAATTCTTTCCCAAATCATTCATTTCAAAGGAGGCCTTAGAGTATTAAAATTTAGCAATTTCCTATGTTTCATATTCATATTATAAAATGTTTTGGGTTTTAAATATATTAATGCATGAATCTATGTATGTGCTTCATATATGTGTCTAAATCTATAATTATAGATGTTAGTGAATCTAGATAAGAAATGGAGAGGCCAAAACAACTTATAATGGAATGGAAGGAGTAGATGATAACAACTCCACCATGCTACCTATGATAAACTTGTTTCTGATAAATTATCCAAGATGAACTTGCACCACTAAATTATCCAAGATGATTAACTGTCAATGATATGTTAGATCATGATCCATTGGCAAAGATTGATTCATTTTTTTAAGAAAAATCTAAATATACACATTTTTTTATAAATGCATCCCTTTCTTTTACTGAAGATTCCAGCAATTGATATCCCTTTCACAAATAATTGACCACGCCCCCCTAAAAAAAAATTGACCACGCAAATTCGTGATCTAGAGCTTTAATATTTGGTGATAGATATTCACTACTATGCGGTAGTGCCAGCTACCAATCCTCCTACTTCTAAAAGTGTTTCAAATGCTACAAACCTACGTTTAATTAATATCCTTGTATCTTGTTCCAGTTCACTGGGATCAGTATAAAGCCAAAAAATACAACCATGTGTTTCTCCTAACATTTTTCTTCCTGTTCCACCCACTGCTCATCAGAATCATTAATAATGTCTTGTTAGGTTAGCCCGCCAAATAGTTGGCCACGGTTTCTTTTTAACCATTAGATCATGGTTGCAATTTTATAGATATTAGGCATGTAGTAGTATTTTTTGACGAATCAAAATATTTGTCAGCCATTTTAGTTTCTTTTGTCAAAGATAATAAAATATTCAGACAAAATAAACGGCCCTTCCTCTGATTAATATATTTATTTGTAACTCTGTAAGTATCTATAATATCGGTATAGTACATTAACATATTTTTACAACTAGTTCTTCCAAAGGCTATATTGTACAAAGGGTTATAATATAATGCCCATGGAAGCATAGCAAGTGACAGCTATTTTATCTGCAAACCTATATATTTCCAGTGGTATATCTTATTGTTAGGCACATTCCTCGCAGGTCTTCCTACGTCTTATTTTAAAACAAAACTACAACTACTCCCAATAATTTAAGAAGGATTGAAAGAGTTAGTGTTAGGCCAAACAAACACTAATGAAAGCATGTATAAAAGCGTGCATCCATGCATGGATATTGCAAGCTCGCATTGCATTCAGGTGTTACCTTACACATCTATAATCAGCAGAATGTCTTCCTTGGGTTTCTCCTCTCCTGGCTTTCTTCAGCTTCTTTATATCTTGAAATTCTTTTGCCTCCTACCGCTAGTCATCGGTAGCAACGAAACCGAAAGTGATCGACAAGCTCTCCTTTGCTTAAAGTCCCAGCTCACTGGTTCAGCTGAAGTTTTGTCCTCATGGAGCAATGCATCTATGGAATTCTGCAGCTGGCATGGGGTCACTTGCAGTACACAATATCCACGCCGTGTCACTGCTCTTGATCTCTCATCAGAAGGAATCACAGGCTCCATATCACCTTGTATTGCCAACCTCACTTATCTTACAAAGCTCCAACTGTCAAATAATAGCTTTTATGGCAGCATACCATCCGAGCTCGGCTTCCTAACTCAACTCAGCATCCTCAACATTAGCATGAACTCTTTAGAAGGTAACATTCCATCTGAACTCACTTCATGTTTCAAGCTTCAAAAGATCGACCTTAGCAACAACAAACTCCAAGGGAGCATACCTTCTGCTTTTGGGGATCTTACTGAGCTTCGAACACTTATACTCACTAGCAACAGGCTTTCTGGTGACATACCACAATCATTGGGAAGCAACCTTTCACTAACTTATGTCGATCTTGGGAGGAATGCTCTCGCAGGGAGAATTCCACAATCATTGGCAAGCAGTACATCTTTGCAGTTTCTTATTCTCACGAGCAATACCCTTAGTGGAGAACTCCCAAAGGCTCTCTTAAACAGTTCATCGCTTATTTTTCTTGACCTCCAACAGAATAACTTTGTTGGTTCTATACCACCTGTTACGGCAATATCGCCGAAAATGTACTATCTTGATTTAAGATTCAACCATCTCACAGGAACAATACCTTCCTCACTTGGAAATCTTTCCTCCCTAACTTATCTTTGTCTTATAGGGAACAATTTAGTTGGGAGCATCCCAGATACCCTAGGCCATGTTCCAACACTAGAGACACTGGCAGTTAATGTAAACAACTTGTCAGGGCCAGTTCCGCCATCTATCTTCAACGTAACATCACTGACATATCTTGGAATGGCAAACAACTCTCTCACTGGAAGATTACCCTCAAACATTGGCTACACGCTCCCAAATATTCAGCAATTAATCCTCCCGAATAATAAATTCAGTGGCTCAATCCCGAGTTCGCTTCTTAATGCATCCCACCTGCAGAGACTTTTCCTTACTAATAACAGCTTCACTGGGCATATACCATTCTTTGGATCATTGCAGAATTTGGAGATCCTTGACATGGCATACAACATGCTAGAAGCAGGTGACTGGAGCTTTGTCTCGTCACTCACAAATTGCTCCAAATTGACTCAACTGCTTCTGGATGGGAATAATCTTCAAGGGAACCTACCAAGTTGTATTGGTAACCTGTCTAGTAGTCTTGAGCACTTGTGGCTAAGAAATAACATGATTTCTGGGCTTATACCACCAGGGATTGGCAACCTTAAGAGTTTGAATACGTTGTACATGGATGACAATTATTTAACCGGCAATATACCACCCACAATTGGATATTTACACAACATGAATAAGTTGTACATGGATTACAATTATTTAACCGGCAATATACCACCTACAATTGGATATTTACACAGCATGGTCTTCCTGTCCTTTTCACACAACAGACTCTCTGGGCAAATCCCTGGCACTATAGGCAACCTTGTTCAACTGAATGAACTGCGTCTTGATGAGAATAACTTGAGTGGAAGCATACCTGCGAGTATACGTCACTGCACTCAACTCACAAAACTCAACCTTGCTCACAACTCACTTCATGGGACCACTATTGCATCTTAACGGGTAATACATTGTGACACCAAGCCAAGCAACATTCTTTTAGGTCATGAGATCATTGCATACGTCAGTGAATCTAGTTTAGCAAGATTTATACGCATCAGATCAAATTCATATCAAGATAGTTCAACAAGTTTGTCTTACCTAAAAGGATCTGTAGGGGCAAGATTTAGGGAGTTTGAGGTTGGATTTTGGGGGCAGCAGGGGGCAGACTGGGACACTATCCCTTGGTGTGGTGGGGAGGTGCCGGTGGCTTGCACTGATGGAGACGACACTGGTGGTGATGCAGAATTGCGTAGTTCCATTGGTGAGAACAGTCTTTTGCTCCATGACTTCACCCGAAGACCAACGGAAATGGGCCAAGTTTGTACGGATATACTCAAAATTAAGCATATATATACTACTTGATACCAAGCACTTTGCTACGGTTCACGTGGATGAATACATGTCATACATTATAAAAAGGACGTGACTACATAGAGACTGTACTTTATATTGTCTTAACTAGAAACTCATCTCAGACCTTGTTGATACATGTCTTTTTTTTCTTCTTATAGATTTTTCTTTTAAATTATTTATCCGATTTATAATCCGATTACACCATTGTTCGTTACAATTAAATCTTTACAACAAGATCTTACATGACTATATTTTGATAAAAGAAATATCTATGTTGTAAATTACTTTTATTATATATGTACGTTACTTTTATCATATATATAAATTACTTTTTATTTGATTAAATTACTTACTATACATTTATAATGTTGTGAGTTGTTTATTTTATTATCATTTTTAGTCAATTCCATAATTTGTGCCGATTAAATTTAATTTCTAGATATACTTACGCTTTTACCTCCATAACGGATCTACTTTTAATGTCATGACAAAGTTACTTCCCTTTTGTTTTAAGTTACTTCTATAATATATGTAAATTACTTTTAAGCTTTACTGAAATTACTTTTACATGTCTAAGAAGTAATTTAGTGAAATCTAAAAGCAATTTAGATATAATATAAAAGTAATTTGTATTTTTTCAACCAAATATAATCATGTGAGATCTTGTTATAAAAATTTAATTCTTACGAACACAACCGTGCAATCAGATCGTAGATCGGATGAGTAGTTTAAGAGAAATTTTTATTTGAAACATAGGTGATAGGAATATATTTTCTACTTACTTGATGATGACTAGTACTACAGTTAAGTTATCTAGATAGGGTCTCTCGTTAGCACTGAAACGAGATGCCTCTTGATTTAGATTTTGCCTTATAAAAATGATATATGTATATGTTTAAATAATGTGAAAATGATGTAAAGATAATATTTGACATTTCTTACATATTAAGTTCTAAAAATACAACAAAATTGTAAATAATATGTCATGATATTTAAATACTCTAGATAATAATTGCTAGTGGTGATGATGTGTCACACTTGCATATTGAGTTTTAAAAATTAGTAGGCATCAACTTTATAGTAAGATAGGATTCTTACAGGTAGAAGGTGATCAATGAGCATAACACTACTAGAAAAATCGTTTTTCTAGGCGGCCAAAAATAGTTTTTACAGGCAGGGGAAAGGACCGCTTGTAAAAGACTGCGAAAATAGATGATTTTCACAGGTGGCATCTCCATCTTCGCAGGCTTGAGATCCACCCACCTGCAAAAATTATCTATGCGCACAAAGAAATAAAAGGGCATAACCACCCCCACCGCCATCACCACCCCTACCCACCGGCGCCACCGCCGGCCTCCCCCTCCGCCCCCTCCCCCTCCGTCTGGCGCCGTTGCCCAAGGGGAGCGCCGCCGCCGCCGCAGGCCGGCTCCCCTCTTCCGTCTAGATCTGGGAGGTGAGGGGTCGGCGCTGTCTATGCCGCTACTGCCGTCGCCGCCGGTGGATGGATCTAGAGGAAGGGAGAGGATTGGAGCGCCGGGAGGGAGGGGAAGGGCCGGCGCTGTCTTCGGTGGCCGCCTCCTCTTCCCTCCTCACCGAGCCACCGTCGCTCCTCGTCGAGTTGGACGGCTGTCGCCGCCTCATTGCGTGCGCCGACGGTCGTCGGCTCCTCTTCCGCCGCTGCTCCTCTAGGCCGCTCCTCGCCGAGTCGGACGGCTGCTGCCGCCTCCTTGCGTGCGCCAACGGCCGTCGGCTCCTCCTCTTCCGACGCCACCGTCACCGCTCCTCTTGGCCGCTCCTCGCTGAGTCAGATGGCTGCCGCCAACTCCTTGTGTGCTCCAACGGCCATCGGCTCCTCCTCTTCCACAGCCGCCGCCACTGCCGTTGCCGCCTCCTTGCGCGCGCCAAGCCGCCGACGGCCACCGGCTCATCCTCGCGGTAGAGACCACTCATCCAAATTTTTGAAGTTGCAGAGAGGGAGAGGGAGAGGGAGAGGGAGAGGGAGAGAGGGGGGAGAGGATAAGGATGGGTGGGTGGTGGGTGGTTGTGGGGAATACGTTTTATTGAGTGGTCATGTTTTTCCAGGCAGACCTCTTTAAGTGGTCTGCCTGTGAAAGGAAAAGTATTTTTGCAGGCGGATCTCTTAAGGGACCCGCCTGAAAAAATTGATTTTCGCAGACGAATGACAGTCTCACCCCCAGCTGCCATTTTCGTAGGTGGCTGTTTGGCTCCGAGGGACCAACCCGTCTGCGAAAATGGTTTTTTAGTAGTGTAATAACGTTACTAGTGTGTTGGCACAAGCTCCAGCGCCATGTTGTTGAGCTCCAAGTCATCTATCTTACGTGTAACTTGCTGGATTGCTTTTAAAGCTTCGTTGTAACACAGCTGAAACTTCTGGCATTTGTTGATATAAGGATGATTGTTCGGCTTGGAACTTGCTAAATTTCCTGAAACATCATCATTATAGTATGCTTAAAATATGCTTGAAACTACTGAAACTAGAGGCTCAATGTAAACTTGTGCATTAGAGATCCAAATAAAGTATGGAATGGGCGAAGAGAGATCAAGTCTATAGTTTTGGAGTGCTTGTTTCAGAAATGGTCATGGGCATTAGTCCGATAGATGAAATATTCAGTGACGGTACAAGCCTGCGTGATCTTGTCGCTAGTAACTTTCCCAAAGATATATTCAAGGTTGTTGATCCCACCTTGCTACAAGATGATATCGATGCAACAGATCTGCAGAGTTGCGTTATTCCGTTGGCCAGAATAGGACTCTCTTGCTCCATGACTTCACCCAAAGACCGATGCGAAATGGGACAAGTTTGTACCGAGATCCTTAGAATCAAGGATGCACTATCAAAGATAGATGGTGAATGAAGAGAAGAGAAACATTTGCGCTGCTGGCACGAGCTCCAGTCCACTACAGTCGGCAATGAGCGCAAAAGGAAATGCGGCTCAGCGAGCGAGCACAAGCGAGAAGGACGGATATACCAGAAGAAGAGAATTGCTAGGATTATAGCTAGCAACAGAGGTGGATGTAAATAGCTAAAGAAGAATACCAATGTAGCACCTTATGGTTTTTGCCCCAATTTTCTTTAGTCCAGTTTGGTTAGTGACATTTGCAGAAAGTACTAGCATTTCTTTGGGTATTAGTATACTTTGTTAAATTTATCTTATAGAGACATATTTTCGGCACTTTAAAATTTGTCTCATATGTAAAGGTATTTTCTTAAGGCATTTAAAACAATGTAAAGGTATTTTTCCAAATATTAATATATATAAAGTAACTAGATATAATTAACACAAATCATATATATACATGTAATTATGAGGTTGAGATGGTTAGTGCATTAAAGGTTAAAATAGTTAACTCATGAGGAACTCATGAGGTCTGGAGTTCAAGGATTGGTAAGGAATAAATTTTTTGTTTTTTTTTTCATATTGATTTGCTATAGTTGCCGCAACGTGCCTCTATTTGCATAGAGACATCTTATAAAATATCTCTTAGTTCGTAGAGATAATTTACCAAAAGGCACTTAATTATGAGACACTCTTCAAAATATCTCTATAACACTGTAAAGGCATTTTAAAAATATCTCTATAGTATTGAGAAAATGTCTCTACAAGATATATTTGTTGTAGTGATATACAATATTTTCATACATAAACTTTAACACATGGTATACAAAGTTTTTTATACGTACGTACACCATGTATATAAAGTTTACGTATAGAAACTGTGTATATGTAAATATCTAAACTTTATATATAGATGGGAGGGTACATTTTATAACACATCATACATGGTTTATTACATTCGCTTGATACATGGTTGATTCATCCATTCCAATATATATTCCATAAGAACTGCATTTAAATTATTTTTCGAGCAAAACGTAGAACGGTAGACACCATGGGAGAAGCCGAGAACATGTAGGCTCCTGTCCACACAACCTTGTAGTGGACGGACGTCTTACATTTCGTCCCGCTGCTGCCCAGAGGTGGCTTGCTTCTTCATGCCTGTGGTACGGTGGTATACAGTTAGCAAACCTCTGTTAACAAAATAAAGAACTGTATATATACATTGCCTTGGCAAAATAATCCTATAATTGTATTAGCATCTTATGTACTGTTACAAATGTACTACTTCCGTTTCATATTATCGTTATCAAACTATTTTAGATTTGACTAAATTTATAAAATTATATATATATATATATATATAGCAATATTTTTCAACACAAAAGAAATCTATATTCAATGTTATGTTCAACGTTAGATACAATATTAAAACTAATTTAGTGCTATAAGTTGTTACTATATTTTTCTATAAAATAACTCAAACAATTTTTAAAAGTTTTGAGTCGACTTATATGATACTTCCTCCATCCACAAAAGTTACACATATTACTTTTGATACCAAGACCAAAGAGAAATTAAATCACTTTGGATATTACAAAAACAATGAGTGAATGCAAGTATGCAACCAATGAGTATTTAGATGACTTCTTGGATTCTAATAAAACATTTAATTTACCTCTACATTTAAGTCTTGAATGTATAAAGACTACAAATAGAAACAACTTATTTAGAAAAACTCAAATGTGAAATAGGTGTAACTTTTGTGGATAGAGGCAGTATAAATAAAAAGGAGGAAGTAAATCGTATCACTCACTCTTTGGATCTGCAGCCTCCGCGGCCTTGTCGGCACCGGTCTTGTGGCCGTGTCGTGGTGTTGGATTGTTAACGACATGCACCGTCGAGTCCAGATGTGCTACTTTCTCCGGATCCGCGGCGCCTTTGCTTTGTCGATGTACGAGAGTAGAGTTTACGAGACCCACCATACATCGGGACGACTGCGACGGCTGCGCGAAGCACCGCGACGCGGGCGGACGGCGCCGTCGTGAATAATCGCATCATTCCTGCGGCGCTCTTTAATTAATTAAGCTGAGCACTCGATCGAGAAGTAGTAGTACTGGAGTACAACCACAGGACACGCTACTGATCAATCACTGAGGAGTGATCGGTGGATATGCCTCGGCTCTGTGCTGAAGTGTGCTTTCCATCGTCCCGACTTCCGATGGTATTTATGTGGTTTGTGCTCCGCGGTGGGACGGAGTTGTCTTACCGGTGATTCGTCACAGTAGTTGGTGGGTTTATGTAGTTTATGACTCGCTGTTGTCGGGGTCAATATAGCATACGCGCAGAGTATAATTAAGAATAGTAGTATCGGCAATCCCAACTTAAAAAGTAGTAGTATCAAGTACTTCATCTATCCTTATAAGATATTTTGGTTGGATGAGACATTTTAGTAGTACGAATCTAAACATTCAGATTTATAGTATTAGGATGTATCCCGTTCGACCAAGGACGGATGGAGTAGTTTTCATACTTGCATGCTACTCCCTCCGTTTCAAAATATTTGACACCGTTGACTTTTTAGCACATGTTTGACCGTTCGTCTTATTCAAAAAAATTTGTGAAATATGTAAAACTATATGTGTACATGAAAGTTTTTTTAACAATGAATCAAATGATATGAAAAGAATAAATAATTACTTAAATTTTTTTAATAAGACGAATGGTCAAACACGTAATGAAAAGGCAACGGTGTGAAACATCTTGAAACGGAGGGAGTATAGATACTATGTGTAGAAAGCATATGCTAAATGGGTGATTTCTTTAAAATAAATTCTCATCCAATCACCTCTCTTTTGTATGAGATGGTTTCATCTTTTTCGTTCTCTCCTCGTTAATTCTCTTGCCACCTTAGGTTTTCTTTTTTTTTCGGGGAAAAAAGGGAATATTACTCAGGAATAATATCGCCAATTACAAGCTTTGAGATAAAGGTGCAGCCATTCTCACACCAAAATCTTGATAACTTTTCACAGCGACTTTTATTAGCTAGGATATGACTAAATAAATTTTGGCTTCTGTGAATCTTCTTGAGCAAACAGTCCCGGCTTCCAGCGAGAAGATCCTTAATCTTCTAATAACAAAGCCTAACTCCGAGCGCTCATTTTTTTAGCTTGGATCATTTGCAAAGCTACCAAGCAATCCGATTCTATCTAGACTGGGAGCAGAGTCCACTGAAGCGCCAAGGTGATACCTTCTCTGCACGCAGCCAACTCTACTTCTCGTGCACTGTTACAGATATTCAGAGTTTTGCAGGAGGCAAAAACCACCCTCCCTTCCCAGTCCCTCATGACTATGCCGATACCCCCCTCACCTTCCGCAGCATCAAAGGAGCCATCTACATTAACCGTCATCTACCCGATCTGCGGCCTCACCCATTTCTGTTTGAAAGCTGGACTGGATCTAGATGAAACAGCCTTTCCACCAGCAGATACAGGCACAACATTTTTCCCTTTCCCTGAAACATCTACATTCTTTTGTCGGATGTTGAACAGTGACTGAATGTAGCTCTCCAGAAATCTTTTAGAAGCCTCGATTGATGGAGGTATTTTCTCATGGATGATCTCATTACAAACAAACCAGTTTCGCCATAGCACCAAGAGGAAAGCAACCCGTTCAGACTCGGAAAACCTGTCTAAAAGATCAAATAGCCAGGCAGGGTTGTCCACACGCACGTCAGTAAGCCTAGGGAAGTGCCCTTCTCTCTGCGTAGCCAGCAGCAAAAATGTTGACTGGGAACAACGGAGAAGAGCATGTTGTGTGTCTTCAATTTCTGTCCCACATACCCCACAAGTGGCTATCCGCTCTAGCTTTCTTTTAGTTTTATTATATGACAATGTATTTATTGTTATGGAAAATAATTGAGGTGGAAAGGTTAGGAATGCTCCTAAGCCAACTAGTACTATCTTTACGTGGAAAAGAAAGAAAAAAAATGAAAAGTGTCGAGCAAACAAGAATTTACTAGTTACATAAAGGAATTTCAGAAATCTGTATGGTACTACTTATCGAGTTTATTCCATATTCAACGATACACCGAGCTCAATAGTATGTATTTCGTATGAAAATACCTCTAGTAACCTTTAAAGCACATCATTCCTGTATATGTGCGAGAGAACGGCCTCCATATACAAGCATCGTTATAAGTTTGCATTTTTTGGCAAGAAACTCCTGTTTCAGGTGACTAACAAATGAGTAAATGGTACCAAAATTTATTGCCTAACAGAGGTTCTGTTCCGTCAATTCACCTTGTTCATTTGTTTTGACTATACTTTGACTCCAAGTCAAAAGGTTGCCAACGTTAGGTATTCGAAAATGCCACAAATTAAGATGTGTTCACATCTTAGTATCCCACGGGGTCCTCTTCGGTCGTCTCGATTGGTTAATTAAAATTCTGTCCTCGTCTGGCATACAAATCCTGCCAAATTTCTTGGTTAGATTGTCATATCAAGCTCAGGACAATGTGTTTTGTTTTCATTTGGTGGATGAGTTTGATGCATACACCAATAGCTATTAAATTAGGTTGGACTGAATAATCGCCTACTACTTTCCTCACTACCACATAAACGATTTTCATGTACGAGCCCCTCATTAGATTCCAGGCAGTCCATAACTGACCGCGTCTGGAAAGATCGTCCTCCTATTTTTGCGTGTGGACCCTTAGAGGAACACACGCGAAAATCGATTTTCGCATGCGGGCCTCTTAAGGGTCCGCACGCAAAAACAAGCCTATTTTTGCAGGCGGACCTCTTAAGAGACCGCACGCGAAAATACGCTCCCTCCTCAGGCATTTTTTCCTCTCAACCACTTCAAAAATTCTATCTTATCATCTCCACCTACCCATCCTTATCCTCATTTCTTCTATATATATCTCTCTCGTCTCTCATCTCTCACGGGCGGCGGCGGGCTCGGTGGGCAACGGGCGTGGGGCGGCCGGCGACGGCGGGTGGCGGCAGCGCGGTCTCGCGCTCCCCCGTGGCGGCCGAGAGTGGCAGCAGGCGGCAGCAGCGCGCCCTCGCATGCGGGCAGCAGCCGGGAGCGACGGCGCCGACGGGTGGCGGCAGCGCAGCCTCACGAGCGCTCCCCGGCGGCGTCACCCCTCGCCCGCCCGGATCTAGAGGCGGCGCCCCTCTCTCGCTCAGATCCGATGGTTGGCGGCAGTGACGCAACCGGGAGCGGCGGTTGGCTCGAGAACCGGCCGCGGCAGCCATTCGCGGCGGAAGGCGGCGGCGGCGGCGACCATGAGGAGGGCAGCCGCTAGGGTTATGGTTTGGATTTTATTTTTTTTTTGGGGGGGGGGGAGTTTCCATGTGGACGACATAAGCCACCCACATATGAAAATTAGATATTCTCGTGCGGGTGCGTCACCCGCACGAAAAAATCGGGTTTTTGCAGACACTTGGGTGCATACGGACGGGTGATTCGCACGCGTAAACCCTTTTCAGCCACACAGAAAAATCGTTTTTTTAAGTAGTGCCTCCGACTCAAAAACATATCATATATGAGAAAATAAGTACTTTTGATACAAGCACTAAAATTAGTTGGAAACTACTCCCTGTGTCAACAAATATAATCACTTCTAAGTTTTTTTTATGAGAGATTGAAAATGAAAGAAAAATAATATAATTTCCCTCATTAAACAAGGAGTGGTTAGGGGGTAAGATTGGGTGAATGTTAAATCCAAAGTGGTTAGGTGGGAAAGAGTACTTTAAATATGCTTATAGTATATTACTCACTCTATCCCATAATATAAGATATGCACACATTCCAAAATTAAACTTTAAAAATATTTGACCAACAATTATTATTATATAAATTATATTTTATTTGCTAAAATTAATATTATTGGATTGACATTTAAATTTACTTTAAGATAGTTATAATTTTGTTATAATAAATTTTATAGTATGTGAGAAATTATAAGTCAAAGATTAGTTTTGAAGATTGTGAGCTAAGTTTTATCGGGCCTTATATTATGTGATGGAGGGACTAGTAATGAACAAATTCCAAACATTAGAGGTGTTTATATTTATGGACGGAGGTGTTTATATTTATGGACGGAGGGAGTAAGCTCTCATAACATATGTGATCACTTCAAGTGTTGGAATATGTTTGCTTTAGGCCACTGATGAAGCAGACCAAATTTTCTCGTGGCTCTCCCTGGTGAAAACTAGAAACACATGAACGGTAAAACCTTACTCCATACGCCATGATATTGTACACTTTGTGTTACTGTTTCGCGCCGATCTTTAGAACACATGAACGGTAAAACACAAGAGTAGCAAAAATATGATCTTAGTAAGAATATATATGTAAAACATAGAAGAAAATAGGAATAACCATTTGGTTAGCCTACAGAAAAAAATACAGGAAATGAGATATAAACTTAAAAAGGAAATCCTCCAAGAGGTTATATCTCGTTATAATTTTCTGGTATCAGTAGTTGAGGTTTCCGTACAATTTGATATGATCCATTAGATTGGACAATATGAAAACTCTATATTAATTGTACTTAATTCTACAACCATTAAAAATCATCCTAAAACAGCTCTCCTCTAAAAGCCCTTCAAATGCTACAAAAGCAAGTGTTTCTCCGAGTTCTCCACTACGATCAGTATAGAGTAAAAAATCCAACCATGTGTTTCTCCAATTATTTTTCTTTGTAGAACTAAGGTGAGATACCGTATTTTTGTAATATTATTAACTAACGATGCATAAAAAGGTACTTAATACTAGAATTAGCCCCACTAATTAAATCGTTGACAAAATGTTTCTAACGGTTTGTTTTAAACATTACATTAGGATCATTGTTACAAATTGTTAGAATATAAGCCTTTGTGTAATACTAGTTTCTGATGTCTTACTATTTGTCAGCCATTTTAGCTTCGTTTGTCAACCTAATAAATTCTTTAGCCAAAATAATCGATCCTTCCTCTGATTAACATATTTTTTTTATAACTATGCAAGTAACTAATAATGCCATGGAACATTAAAAACTAACAAATGCCAACTATTTTATTTGCAAATAAACCAGATGGTCCAGGTCAAGTTCCAGTGGTATATATTATTGTTGGGCACATTCCAAACAGGTCTTCCAACGTCTTACTATACAATAAAACTACAACAACTCCCAATAATAAGCAGAGTAGACAAGGTTAGTGTTAGACCAAATGAACATTAACGAAGCTTAATCGCGCATAAAAGCGTGCATCCATGCATGGATCTCGCAAGCTCGCATTGCATTCAGTTGCAAACTTACATATCTATAATCAGCAGTAACAATGTCCTCCTTGGGTTTCTCCTCTCCTGGCTTTCTCCGGCTTCTTTACATCTTGAAATTCTTTTGCTTCCTACCATTAGTAATCAGTAACGAAACCGAAAATGATCGACAAGCTCTCCTTTGCTTCAAGTCCCAAATCACAGGTTCAGCTGAAGTTTTAGCCTCATGGAGCAATGCATCCATGGAATTCTGCAGCTGGCATGGGATCACTTGCAGTATACAATCTCCACGCCGAGTCATTGTGCTTGATCTCTCATCAGAAGGAATCACAGGCTGCATATCACCCTGTATTGCCAACCTCACCGATCTTACAAGGCTCCAACTGTCAAATAATAGTTTTCGTGGCAGCATACCATCCGAGATCGGCTTCCTAAGTAAACTCAGCATCCTCGACATCAGCATGAACTCTTTAGAAGGTAACATCCCATCTGAACTCACTTCATGTTCCAAGCTTCAAGAGATTGACCTTAGCAACAACAAACTCCAAGGGAGAATACCTTCTGCTTTTGGGGATCTTACTGAGCTACAAACACTTGAACTCGCTAGCAACAAGCTTTCTGGTTACATACCACCATCACTGGGAAGCAACCTTTCGCTGACATATGTCGATCTTGGGAGGAATGCACTCACAGGAGAAATCCCAGAATCATTGGCAAGCAGTAAATCGTTGCAGGTTCTTGTGCTCATGAACAATGCCCTTAGTGGACAACTCCCAGTGGCTCTCTTTAACTGTTCATCACTTATTGATCTTGACCTCAAACATAATAGCTTTCTTGGTTCTATACCACCTATTACTGCCATATCTCTGCAAATGAAATATCTCGATTTAGAAGACAATCACTTCACAGGAACAATACCTTCATCACTAGGAAATCTTTCCTCCCTAATTTATCTTAGTCTCATAGCGAACAATTTAGTTGGAACCATCCCAGATATCTTTGATCATGTTCCAACATTACAGACACTGGCAGTTAATTTAAACAACTTATCTGGGCCAGTTCCACCATCTATCTTCAATATATCATCACTGGCATATCTTGGAATGGCAAACAACTCTCTCACTGGAAGATTACCCTCAAAAATTGGCCACATGCTCCCAAATATTCAGGAATTAATCCTCCTAAATAACAAATTCAGTGGCTCAATCCCGGTTTCACTTCTTAATGCATCCCACCTGCAGAAGCTTTCCCTTGCAAATAATAGCTTATGTGGGCCCATTCCATTATTTGGATCATTGCAGAATCTGACCAAACTTGACATGGCATACAACATGCTAGAAGCAAATGACTGGAGCTTTGTCTCATCACTCTCAAATTGCTCCAGATTGACTGAACTGATGCTGGATGGGAATAATCTTCAAGGGAACCTACCAAGTTCGATTGGTAACCTTTCGAGTAGTCTTGAGTACTTGTGGCTAAGAAATAACCAAATTTCCTGGCTTATACCACCAGGGATCGGCAACCTTAAGAGTTTGAATATGTTGTACATGGATTACAATTATTTAACTGGTAATATACCACCAACAATTGGATATTTACACAACCTCGTATTCCTGTCCTTTGCACAAAACAGACTGTCTGGGCAAATCCCTGGTACTATAGGTAACCTTGTTCAGCTGAATGAACTGAATCTTGATGGAAATAACTTGAGTGGAAGTATACCTGAGAGTATACATCACTGCGCTCAACTCAAAACACTCAACCTTGCTCACAATTCACTTCATGGGACTATACCAGTTCATATCTTCAAAATCTTTTCTCTTTCTGAACATTTGGATTTGTCACACAATTACTTGTCTGGAGGAATACCACAAGAAGTTGGCAATCTTATTAATCTTAACAAACTTAGCATCTCAAACAATAGGTTGTCTGGTAACATCCCATCCGCTCTTGGTCAGTGTGTGATTCTTGAATCTCTTGAGCTGCAAAGTAATTTCCTTGAAGGGATAATTCCAGAATCTTTTGCAAAATTGCAAAGCATCAATAAATTAGATATTTCTCATAACAAGTTGTCTGGAAAAATCCCAGAGTTCCTTGCGTCCTTCAAGTCTCTAATTAATCTTAATTTATCCTTCAACAATTTTTATGGACCACTTCCAAGTTTTGGTGTTTTTCTGGACACTAGTGTGATCTCAATTGAAGGAAATGATCGTTTATGTGCAAGGGCACCATTGAAAGGTATACCTTTTTGTTCTGCATTGGTGGACAGGGGAAGGGTGCACAGGTTATTGGTTCTAGCTTTCAAAATAGTTACACCAGTTGTTGTTGTTGTTATCACCATTTTGTGTTTTCTAATGATTCGTTCAAGGAAGAGAGTGCCTCAAAATTCGAGGAAGTCAATGCAACAAGAGCCGCACTTGCGACTATTCAATGGGGACATGGAGAAGATTACATATCAAGACATTGTGAAGGCCACAAATGGGTTTTCCTCCGCTAATTTGATTGGATCAGGATCATTTGGAACGGTTTACAAGGGCAATCTGGAATTCCGACAAGATCAAGTAGCCATCAAGATTTTTAACCTTAGCACATACGGAGCACATAGGAGCTTTGCTGCAGAGTGTGAAGCCCTAAAAAATGTCCGCCATAGAAATCTTGTCAAAGTCATCACTGTGTGCTCTTCAGTGGATTCTACAGGGGCAGAATTTAGGGCCTTGGTATTTGAATACATCCAAAACGGGAACCTTCAAATGTGGTTACATCCAAAGGAACATGAGCATAGTCAAAGAAATTTTCTGACATTATGCCAGAGGATCAATATAGCTTTAGACATAGCATTTGCTCTGGATTATCTTCACAACCGTTGTGCAACTCCACTCGTACATTGCGACTTGAAGCCAAGCAACATTCTTTTAGGCCCTGACATGGTTGCATATGTCAGTGATTTCGGTCTAGCAAGATTCATATGCACAAGATCAAATTCAGATCAAGATAGTTTAACAAGTTTGTATTGCCTAAAAGGATCAATCGGATACATCCCACCAGGTGAGATAGCTTTTTTAAAATAAAGTTGTTCTTTTTTTGTTTTTCTTAGACCCATGCAAAACAATTTGCTGTGCCTATTATCTAATTTTATACTTATTTTTAATTTAACTGCAGAGTATGGCATGAGCGAAGAGAGATCAACAAAGGGTGACGTCTATAGTTTTGGAGTGCTTCTTCTGGAAATGGTCACAAATATTAGTCCGACAGAAGAAATATTTAATGACGGTACAAGCCTGCGTGATCTTGTCGCTAGTAACTTTCCCAAAGATACATTCAAGGTTGTTGATCCCACCATGCTACAAGATGAGATCGATGCAACTGAGGTGCTGCAGAGTTGCGTTATTCTGTTGGTCAGAATAGGACTCTCTTGCTCCATGACTTCACCCAAACACCGATGCGAAATGGGACAAGTTTGTACTGAGATCCTTGGAATCAAGCATGCGTTATCAAAGATAGATGGTGAATGAAGAGAAGAGAAACATTTGCATTGTTGGCGCGAGCACCAGTCCCTGCTACAACAGCTGTGAGCGCAAGGGGAAAGGTGACTCAGGAGCGAGCACAGCCTAGGATGACGGCTATACTAGAAGAAGGAAGAGATTTGCCAGGATTGTAGCTAGCAACAGAGATGGATGTAAAGAAGAATACCAATGTACCATCTTATGTTTTCCCCCTTTTTTCAGTCCATTTCCGTTTGTGACATTTGCAGAAGGAAGCATTCATTTGGGCATTAGCATGTCTCATGTGCTGTGTACATCCAAGTGGATGTAGAGGCCGGGTTATTTAATCTATTATCTTAAAGATTAGCAATGTCTCATTTTTCTTTAATTATCGTGAGTGGGATATTCCTAAAAGAACAATTCCAAGCGGTTAGAGCGCAATCCATCTATGCAATTGGTATCCAGACAAAGCTAATTAATCAGATGTCTACAGAATCTGGATTTGGGGACTAAACCTCGAATCCAGACATGAAATTCGCTTAATCGGAAGAGGCTGCGACAGCGGAACCCTACATGGATCGATCTCGCCACACGTCCGGATGGATTGACAGGCATACGTGGGGTTGCGCGTACCTGCTACTCTCGGAGTTCGAGCTGCCACCGAGCGCCGGCGTTCCTGCGGAGGGAGCCCGGTCCGCCGGCGTGGGGTCGTCTCTGTCTCTCGGCTTGGCTCTATCTGGGCTTGATTAAATCAGGGGCTATCATCCAGTCAAATAATGGAAAGAAGTCCACCTTCTCGACTGCTTCCTCAGTTCCCAAAATGTATAACTAGGATGAGGTTCTATCCAGATCTGTTTATCTTAGGATGGATTAAATCTCGTTGTAGTTGTAACATGTTGTGGTGGTCGGCCGGTGGAGGGGCGCCGGCGCGGTGTGGTGGAGGCCTCGTGCTGATCTGCTTGTCAGATGGTTTCTGAGTTGATGGGCGATGGATCTCAAGCAAGGTTGAAGGGTTTCCGGGTGAAAGCCTCGCCTGATGATTCATCGGGCTGGCAGCGTCTACGCTTTTGGGCGTCGTAACCCCCTTGAGGGCGCTGGCAAGGATACCTTTCTCCCTTGGCTAGTTTTCTCTAGGTGAAAACCACATCTCCTTAGATGGGCGATGGCGGCATCCTTGATGTCGTGACCTCCTTGGAGGCATCGCTTTTAGAGTCTCGTCTTTGTGGTGTTGTCGTTGGCCCGGCGGCGATCGGCCACAAATAGCGGGGGTCATCTCGGTGCTAGGTTTTTCTCTCAGTGGGCTGTGCTTGTGTGATTAGCATGTGGCTTTGGTTATGCATTTCAATGCACCTCCGACCTCGACAGTCTCTGTCCAGAATTTTTTTGTAACTTTATTCCTTCTTAATATACTTGGATGGCCTCCTTCAGCCTTCCCGGCGAAAAAAGTTGTAACATGTTGGAATGGAATCAAGTAGTACGGGTTAAGCTGTACTACTAGTATTTGTGCTACTCAGTTGCTATGGGCTGAGTTTTATTTGTGCTCCTCAGCTACAATATCGACCTCTAAAATCGATATTTATCAACTCCCTCGATAGTAACTTTTATAATGTCACAATCTTATTACTATATGTATATGAAGTTATTGTAAAAAATCATTATGGATAAAGTTACAACTCAAAGATCGTAAAAAGAAAAATCAAATGCCATATATTTGTAACCGGCGGAGGTCGTACTTTGCTGCTGATGCGGTACGAAAGTAGTGGTCGCTGGTCGCCGACTCGCTACATCAGCGCTAGCTGAAGATATCACATAAAAATCAATACAGAAGAAGTGCTGAACAATCTGAGGCATGTAGAGAGGTATACTTTGGCACCAACTGGCTGCACTTTATTGATACAAGACAATTGTCTACAATTGCACAGCCTGATCTGCATTATCCCTAGCAGTAACTAGCCTAACGCCAGTGGGGATTTATTCCCTGATCATAGTGTCTGAAATTATCTGAAACAACATCACAATCTCACGGTGCACAGTACACGTAAGGCAGTTCCGGACATTCGATGTAGGAGAACGGTTTTAACACGTCCCTGTGCCCAGTGTATTTAATCTTTACCCCCGGGAAGTGGATGCCCAGAACCCATACGCTCCTCTTTGCTAGGATCGATCACCGGAACTGCATCACATAAGCATGTAGTGGTGAACTACTGACTAGCAGAAATCAATAACAAAAATAGACCAAGAGCAGCAATACACATGTACTCCATATATTTGCAGAAAATGTAGAAACAGTTTTGTATGGGGTGTTGTTAGATACCAGCTGGAGAGGCTTCTTGAGACTTGGCGGCCGGAGCAGCTGGAAGATCACTGCCTGGAACGGGCACCGGCGTCGCAGACGGAGGATCACCGGATGAATAGGCCACCGGAATGGGGGAGGCGGCGGAGCTGTCAGCCATTCTCCCGATCTAGGTAGGCCGGTGGAAACTGGAGAGCATACGCTGTTCAGCGATGAGTGCATCCAGAATATATAGCCCAAGGGTGCGTGAGTGTGTCTTTGCATGGTTCGATATAGAGAGGATACTCCCTCATTTTTTTTTTAAATAGATGGTACCGTTGACTTTCAGCACGATGTTTGATTAAAACAAGTTATAACAAAAATAAACGATACTTGTATTAGTTCTTTTAATAAGACAAATAGATAAATAATAAAAATATAAGAAGTTTTGGTTAGATGTGACACATACTATGATGGGATGTAGAAGGGAGTATCTATTTATGCTTCAAGCCTTCAAGCACCCGTCCAATGGATGTCGAAGAATCACGTGCGCTGATATTTTTCTTCAGGAAATAAGGTGTGCGTTTACACCTGTACACGGAATAATAGTCGTGGTTGAATTTTCTTGGCAAGATGGTTGTGGCGAACCTGAAGAGTCAAAAAAAACCATTGTGTGAAAGATGTAGCTTCAGAAACTCTAAACTAAGGGTGTGGTTAGTTCGCGAAAAGAAAATTTTTAGATGTCACATCGGATGTTTGACCAGATGTCGGAAGGGATTTTCGGACATGATGTCGGAAGGGATTTTCGGACATGAATGAAAAAACTAATTTCATAACTCGCCTGGAAACCGCGAGACTAATCTTTTGAGCCTAATTAAGCCATCATTAGCACATGTCGGTTACTGTAGTACTTATGGCTAATCATAGACTAATTATACTCAAAAGATTCGTCATTCGTCTCGCGATTTTCATGTAAACTGTACAATTAGTTTTTGTTTTTATCTATATTTAATGCTCTATACATGTGTCCAAAGATTTGATGTGACGTTTTTGGGAAAAAAAATTGGGAAGCCTGAATGAATGCATATGTTCTGCGAGTGCTCTGCTAAAAGGTTCAGCAACTTTGGATAAAAAAAAAAAAGGTTCAGCAACTGCAACTTTCCAAATATAAAAAGCGACCAGTCTAGTTCCAGTGCATCTCACTTCTCGCACCTCGCTTTCAGTTTGGTCCATGCCCTTCCATCCAACCAAGTGACCAACTCAATTGCAAGGTGCTTTCCTGACAAGAAGATGTCCATCCATGTTGTAATAAGCGTTCACAAAAGGTTTTCAACTTTGAACAAACACTAGGTAGTACATCTGTTTATCTTCCTAGTTCCTTGCCACCATATATTGGACTAACAATTAACAGTACCATTTTTGAACAACCATTCGCACAGAAGATCTCTTCTCAGACGGTTGTAATCGACAGCAATGGCCTCTTTTAGTGCCTTATCTCAAAATGTTGCATGGGTTCTTTATCTCTGTACCTTCTTTTGTTCCATATTGTTAGCCATCTGCAATGAAACTGAATATGATAGACAGGCCCTCCTTTGCTTCAAGTCTCAGCTATCTGGTCCATCTAGAGCTTTATCCTCATGGAGCAACACATCCTTGAATTTCTGCAGCTGGGATGGAGTCACCTGCAGTGTGCGACGTCCTCACCGTGTCATTGCAATAGACCTCGCATCTGAAGGCATCACAGGTACCATATCACGTTGCATCGCCAACCTTACCTCCCTTACAACGCTACAACTGTCAAACAACAGCTTCCATGGAAGCATACCATCCAGGCTTGGCCTACTGAGTGAACTCAACAACCTCAACCTCAGCATGAACTCTTTAGAAGGTAACATCCCATCTGAACTTTCTTCATGTTCCCAACTAGAAATCCTAGGTTTGTGGAACAATTCAATCCAAGGTGAGATCCCAGCTAGCCTAAGTAAATGCATACATCTTCAGGAGATTAATCTCAGCAGAAACAAGTTGCAGGGTAGCATTCCCTCTACTTTTGGGAATCTTCCTAAGCTGAAAACACTGGTCCTCGCTAGAAACAGGCTCACCGGTGACATACCACCATTTCTAGGCAGTAGCGTTTCTCTCAGATATGTTGATCTTGGCAATAATGCTCTCACAGGAAGCATACCAGAATCCTTGGCAAACAGTTCATCTCTCCAAGTACTTAGACTAATGAGCAATAGTCTTAGTGGACAACTCCCGAAGTCTCTATTGAATACTTCATCGCTTATTGCCATTTGCCTCCAACAGAATAGCTTTGTTGGTTCTATACCCGCTGTTACTGCCAAGTCTTCCCCAATTAAATATCTCAATTTAAGGAACAACTATATCTCAGGAGCAATACCTTCCTCACTAGCTAACCTTTCTTCCCTACTTAGCCTTCGCCTTAATGAGAACAATTTAGTTGGCAACATCCCAGAGAGCTTAGGTCATATTCAAACACTAGAAATGTTGGCCTTGAATGTGAACAACTTGTCTGGCCTAGTTCCACCATCTATCTTTAACATGTCGTCCCTGATATTTCTTGCCATGGCAAACAACTCACTTACGGGAAGATTACCCTCCGATATAGGCTACACACTTCCGAAAATTCAGGGCTTGATCCTCTCAACAAACAAGTTTGTTGGCCCAATTCCAGCTTCTCTTCTCAATGCCTACCACCTAGAGATGCTTTACCTTGGTAAAAACAGTTTCACTGGGCTCATCCCGTTCTTCGGATCATTGCCAAATTTAAACGAACTTGATGTGTCATACAACATGCTAGAACCAGGTGATTGGGGCTTCATGACATCACTTTCGAATTGCTCTAGATTGACTAAACTGATGTTAGATGGGAACAACTTACAAGGAAATTTGCCAAGTTCAATTGGCAATCTTTCTAGCAATCTTGAGGCGTTATGGCTAAAAAATAACAAATTCTTTGGGCCCATACCATCAGAAATAGGTAATTTGAAGAGCCTCAATAGATTGTTTATGGATTACAATGTTTTCACCGGTAATATACCACCAACAATTGGAAACATGAACAGTTTGGTCGTTCTATCATTTGCACAAAATAAGCTCTCAGGTCATATCCCTGATATTTTTGGCAACTTAAGTCAGTTGACAGATCTGAAATTGGATGGGAATAACTTCAGTGGAAAAATACCTGCAAGTATAAGCCAGTGTACTCAACTCCAGATACTCAATATTGCTCACAACTCATTAGATGGGAATATACCAAGTAAAATATTTGAAATTTCTTCCCTTTCTGAAGAGATGGACTTATCACACAATTACTTGTCTGGAGAAATACCAAACGAAGTTGGAAATCTCATTCATTTGAACAGACTTGTAATCTCAAACAACATGTTGTCCGGCAAAATCCCATCCTCCCTTGGCCAGTGTGTGGTTCTGGAGTATCTCGAGATTCAAAACAACTTCTTTGTAGGAAGTATACCACAATCTTTCGTGAACTTAGTAAGCATAAAAAGGATGGACATATCTCAGAACAATTTGTCTGGAAATATTCCAGAGTTCCTTACATCATTGAGCTCCCTACATTCCCTCAATTTATCTTATAATAATTTTGATGGAGTAGTTCCAAGGGGTGGTGTATTCGACATTAATGCTGCAGTGTCGCTTGAAGGAAATGATCATTTGTGTACAAGAGTTCCAAAAGGAGGTATTCCTTTTTGTTCTGTTTTGACTGACCGGAAAAGGAAACTCAAGATCTTGGTTCTAGTCCTAGAGATACTAATACCAGCTATTGTTGTTGCTATAATCATTCTATCTTATGTTGTGAGAATTTATCGAAGGAAGGAGATGCAAGCAAACCCACATTGCCAACTAATTAGTGAGCACATGAAGAACATAACATATCAAGACATTGTAAAGGCTACAGATAGGTTCAGTTCTACTAATTTAATTGGCACAGGATCGTTTGGGACGGTTTATAAAGGTAATCTAGAACCTCAGCAAGATGAAGTTGCCATCAAAGTATTTAATCTTGGTACATGTGGGGCACAAAGGAGCTTTAGTGTGGAGTGTGAAGCCCTAAGAAACATTCGCCATCGAAATCTTGTCAAAATCATCACACTCTGCTGTTCAGTGGATTCTAGTGGGGCTGACTTTAAAGCCCTTGTGTTCCACTACAAGGCCAATGGGAACTTGGACACATGGCTACATCCAAGGGCCCATGAACACAGCAAGAGGAAAACTCTGACTTTTAGCCAAAGAATCAATATAGCATTGGATGTAGCATTTGCTTTGGACTATCTGCATAACCAATGTGCATCTCCGATAGTACATTGTGACTTGAAGCCAAGCAATATCCTTTTAGACCTTGACATGATTGCGTATGTGAGCGACTTTGGCCTAGCAAGATGTCTAAACATTACTGCAAATGAATATGAAGGAAGTTCAAAAAGTTTGACTTGCCTAAAAGGATCTATAGGGTACATCCCACCAGGTGAGATAACCATATTCATAATGGCCAACTCATTTGTTCTTCATATAATTCTGAGACTGGACATATATATATTCTCTAATTTATTGCATTCATAAATTAAATGCAGAGTATGGCATGAGTGAAGTGATATCAACCAAGGGTGATGTCTACAGCTTCGGTGTTCTTCTATTAGAAATGGTAACAGGGAGCAGTCCTACGGATGAAAAATTCAATAACGGTACAAGCCTTCATGAACATGTTGCAAGAGCTTTCCCCAAGAATACCAGTGAGATTGTTGATCCCACGATGCTACAAGGAGAAATCAAGGTAACAACAGTGATGCAGAATTGCATCATTCCATTGGTTAGGATAGGTCTTTGCTGCTCCGTGGCATCTCCTAATGACCGGTGGGAAATGGGACAAGTTTCTGCCGAAATCCTTAAGATCAAGCATGAATTGTCAAGCATACATGGTGCGTGAAACAAAGCATCAGCAAGACGATATAGCTAGTGTTCTACTTAAATGATACTGGTTGTACCGAGCTACCTTTTTCCATTTCATTTGGATCCTGTAAGTTTATTCTTGTACATCCATTAAGATTTTACGCAGCGCTCTAGCCATGTTTTTCGAAAAAGAAAAAAAAAGTTGGCCTAGCAAATGGTAAGACCTCAATCGGTTTGCACAGCTAGTCTCCGATCAAGGCCAATTAGGTATTTGCAGAAGCTGGATTTGGGTCAGATTGCAAAATCTCGAGTTTGGACATGACCCCGATACAAAATCAGATGATAGATCAAGCAGATAGATATACATACATAGGATAGGATAGGGGCGCACCTCCTAGCTGCCGCGCCGCTCCCTCTCGAGCGCGGCCGCCACATGGGCCTCGCCGTCGCCGGCGCATCCCCACACCGACCTACTACACCAGCCGCCATGTCCTCGCCGCCGCTCGCGCCAGCAGACCAAGCATTGGTCGCCGCAGAGAGCAGCACCGGCGGCGGCCGTGCGCCACTGCTGAATGCTGATGCCAGCCGCGGCGAGGGGATGGCCTGCTGCCGCCGTGTGGCTGCTACGTGCTCGCCGAGGCGCCGCCGTCGCCGGCTGCCGCTGGCCTGAGATGGCTGACTTCCTCGGTATTGGGCTATGAATGAATTTCATGGGCTATTGTTACCACAGGAGAAAATGGACTTGGGCCGGCCTCTCGTGGACCTCTCTGGGCCCATGTAAGCTGTGTCGCAGTGTAGGCCGGTCTCAAATTCTCAATTCGGAAGTGCCTAACCTTTGTGCTTTCGGCTACAATATAGTAAAATTTTGCTATATATTTATCGATAAATTTTCTATAAAAAATTTGATAGATATAATTATAGTGTAAGTTACATGTAACTATAATATAACTCATACTCATACGTAAATTTCACAAAATTTTGAACCAACTAGATTTCTTTCAATATTCAGGTAGGCAAAGAAGGAAAAAAGAAACGCAGCGTACATACATGTGAGAGAATTCAGTCCCACAACTTCGATTTCATGAAAATAGCATGCTACGAAGGAGTTTTCAAAAGTTACATACAAGTTACATGTAAGTTATAATACAATTATACTATAATTATATTTATCGTGATTGTAGTATTGTACCATAATTACATTTATCAAATTAAGAAAATTTGTCAACAAATAGATGTAACCGTGTAAGTGACTCATCCACGAAACTCATTTATAGATCAAAATAAGTCTTGAAATTTTCACCTATAAGTGAATATGTGGATTAGCCACTACACCTACTTGATTTCGGTGTCAGCTTTAATTTTATAACATCTTCGGTGCGGTATTATGCAGTAATAAGCTATTAATCCTTCCTGTCAAATAATCCGGAGTATCTGAAAACAACATTACAAATCTATCCTGCGGTACACGTACACGTAACGCAGTAGCCAGTAGGTAGCTGCTCTAGCAGTTAGCAATGCTTGCAGCTTGACGACGACTCAACAATCTTCTGGTAATGGAGGACGGTTCTCCCAGCACGTCCCTGTAGTCTCTCAGGGATGATTCTTCAGATACTCAGGAAGCCGGTGTGTAGGGAAGTAACGATCCTCGTCGCTCGGATCCATTGGTGGATCTGCAGCACATCACCGTTAAATGCCAAACCAATATTAATTACTCCTTCCATCTATTTTTTTTATAGTCATATTTCATCTTGGCACATAGACCAAGGATAAGTAATTCTACTTATCATCCATTTAAACATGTTACTAGTCATTTCTCGTAATCAAGTGATTCATTAATATTTACATTTCTCAATGTCCATATAACCAATCAAGTGTGGAAGAATGAAGGGTCATGTATTAAATCCGAGAAAGTCATTAAGATTATAGGTTGTTGAATTGAAATATACCTATCAAAAATAAATTTTCCAGATTTGGAAATATGACTATCAAAAATAGATGGAGGGGGTATATCACAAACCAATTGTTAAATATGTGATTCAAATTTTGGGCCCACAATATATTCGGATTAGTTATCTAACAGGACTCTACTTTATAGGATTAGTTTTCTATTAGGACTCCTAGATTTCTCCTATATATATATCCTTTGTAAGCCGCACAGAGAGGGTGCGATAGCCCAATGTATCCCTTGCATTTGTATCCAATTCCTTTATAGTGATCGGCGCCCGTGGTTTTTCCCGTAAGGGTTTTCCACGTAAAATTTGTGTCTCCATTGTGCATCTATTTTCATAACAAGTGCTATCAGAGCATTGGAGATCGATCTACTAATCACACATCCACCGGTGTGATTTTTCGGATCGGAGTATCGATCTGATTGGCCTCGTCGTCGACGCCGCCGGGGAAGGAGCAGCAGCGCACGTCGCGGAGAATCGGCCGCAGCAGCAACGCGTCGTCATCGTCGCAGAAATAAATTCGGTGAGATTGAGGTGGTGTTTAGATCCAGGGACTTAACTTTAGTCCCTGTCTTTAGACACTAATTTAGAGTATTAAATATAGACTACTTACAAAACTAATTACATAAATAAAAGCTAATTCACGAGACAAATTTTTTAAGCCTAATTAATCTATAATTAGAGAATGTCTCCGTCGGCTGCTGTCGCCGCCCTCTCGACTCCGTCGGTCGCCGTCGCCACTGCCTTCCGCCGCAAACCTCCTCGGCGTCGGCCACCTCCGCCCGCCGGCCGCAGCCATCCAGGGGGACTGGATCCGCCGCCAGAGTGGCCGGATCTGTCGTCCCCCCCCCCCCCCACCAACGGTCGCGGTCGCCGCCTCCTGTCAGGAGCGGCACGCCCCTCCCGATCTGGCCGCGATAAGGCCAAATCCACCTCCGGCGGAGCCGGATCCGCCGCATCCGGCCCAGATGGCGCCGGACACTGTCGCCGCCGTCCGCTTCGCTCGGGTCCCGCCGGTGCCCCGGCCGCGCTTCTCGAGAGAGGGAGAAGGCCCCGCCGCCGCCGTCCTTGCCGCCGCGCGGCTTTGCCGGCAGCTGCTCGGGCGGCGGCGAGGCGGAGGGGAGGAGGAGAAGTTTGTGGCGGCGTGCGCGGTGTCGCCGCTTGTGTCGCCCTGGGGCGAGCGACGCGGGCGTTGGGGAAGTTTTTTTTATTGCTAATTTATGGTTATTCTTGTACATCTATTAAAACTTTAGGTAGCGCTCCAGCCAAGTTCTTCATCAAAAACTAAAAAAGTTGAGTATTTCCATGAGCATCAAGCAAATGGTAAGACCTCAACCGATTTGCACAACTACTCTCGGATCAAGTCCAATTTGGTATTTGCAGAAGCTTAGTTTTGGGTCAGATTGCAAAACCTCGGGCATGAACAAAATTAGCCCAATGGAAGGTAAATAAGATTGGAGACGGAGGCATCCAGATCAATCTCACACCGGGTAAATCGCACAAAATTAGATTATAGATCAAACATTCATAGGATAGGATAGGGGCGCACCTCCTAGCTGCCGCGCCGCTCCCTCTCGAGCGCGGCCGCCACATACTCGCATGGGCCTCGCTGTCGCCGGCATAGAGGGCATCCCCGCCGGCCTACTACACCAGCCGCCATGTCCTCACCGGCGCTCGCCCCAGCAGAGCAAGCATTGGTCGCCGCAGAGAGCAGCACCGGCGACGAGCGTGCGCCACTGCTGTGTGCCAGCCCACGGTGAGGGGATGGCCTGCTGCCGCCGTGGGCTCCGTGCTCGCTGAGGCGCCGCCGTCGCCGGCTGCCGCTCTAGCTGGCTGACTTCCTCGGTGGGCTCTATCCGGGCTTGCGTGCGGTGCGCTCTAGTGGTTGGGCCCGTATCTCGTGGACCTCTCTAGGCCCACGTAAGCTGTGCAGCAGTGAAGGCCCGGTGTCATATTCTCAGCTCTGAAGTGCCCAGCCCAACCTTACTACCTCAGGCGAAACGCTAATCAGCAGTGGAGTAATTCCACGTGACTCCCTCGTACGTCAATCTAATTAGTATCCTTTAACCATAATACCAGAAATCTTAAATCCCAACTATTAAAACCAGTACAAAATTACTATCTCGGTGGTTTTGCTAACCGGCTGAGTCGGCATATAGGTCCCACATATCATCCTCTCTCCCTTTCTTTCTCCCCACTCTCTCTCTCTCCTTCGTCCCTAATCTTATGGATTCAGCAGCAGCAAGAGTGGGTGGCATGGTGCCATGGCGACGGGAGGTTGAGGAGAAGGCGACAGTGACGGAGGAGCTTGAGGAAGTTGTATTGCCCCCGTATCTCAGCGGTGGCAAGGCGGCAGGAGTTCGAGAAGAGAACAAAGGCGGGTGACAGTAGGACAACAGTGATGAAGGAGCTCGAGGGGGCTAGGAGGCAGGAGGCATTACGAAGGTGGACGCAGTCTCCATCGTGCGGCGCCACTTATGTGAGGAGATGAATGCCATACCAGGGGGAGATGTAGGTGAAGAGATGATGGAGGAGGGAAAGAAGAGTGGAGGAGAAAGAAATAGGGATGAAGAAGTATGCGGCACCGGAGCCCGTCACCACAATCCTCCTCTAGAAGGAGATTGAGGACGGGTGGGTCTCCCTCGTCGGCTAGCCGGTTAAGGGCGACGAGGCTGCAGCTTCATCCATGGCGAGCGCTGTGGCATCCGGTGGCAAGCGGCACCGGAGCCCACTGTCGTGAGCATCCATGAGGAGGAGACCGAGGTCGTCACTGCCACCTGTCCCGTCAGTTTACACCGGTTTTAATAGGTGGAGGTTCGAGATATTTGGTTTTGCGGTTGAGAGATACGAATTAGATTAGACCTTTATTTGAGGGATTCAAAGTAGATTTGTTGCAATCAGCGGCTGATGAAGCGCGATCTGATCCACGCGGTCAGTTGGCCCATTCCTCTTTCGGCCTATGGGATTTAGCCTTTTCCATTTTTGGTTTTTTTTTTTCCATGGATGGCTTTTGTTTTTTAAGCGGGCCGACCCAATTTATTTTCACAGGCCAAATTGGGCATTTTGTTTTTCTTTTTTAGCAGGCTTTTTTCCCTTTAGCCGTATTTATACAAAGTTTATGTTTGTACCAAAACATTTATACAGTACATGTATCTTTATATATATATATATATATATATATATATATATATATATATATATATATAGTAAATTTGTTTGGTGCTCCATGGTGCCCGGGCACCATTGTTGAAATTAAGTATATACCTAATTCAAATGAGTATGAAACTTTTTCAATTACTTAGATATTAACATTAGCTACTTTACTAACTAGTTCAAAGCAAGTTTGAACTGAATTTGAACTTGTTTTTGTTAGATTTTGATTCTAGGTATATAGCATCCATACATATAATTAGTTAGGTATGTAATCATGGATTGTGAAATAAAGTTAAATTTGAGTTGTTTTGTTGATAGGTATAGGTATGAATCGAGTTATTATAACTAGGTATATACTCACAATTTGAAAATTTTGAAAAATTTGAGTGATTTTGTGTATTTGATACCATGGTGCCCGGGCACCATGGTGCCCCATATGAGTGTCCTATATATATATATATATATATATATATATATATATATATATATATATATATATATATATATACACACGTATATGTATATACATATAAAATTTATATGTATGCTAATACGTTTAGATTTTATACGTATAAGTATATAGTTATATACGTATAGGGTTGGCGCGCGGGCAGCCGCACATCAGCGGCTCAGAGCTAGCTGAAGCCTGAAAAAATCACGTCCAAGACAACAAAAACACTCAATAACAAAGACTGATGGACAATGAACCATGTACATATTATATTTTGGCAGCCTTCCTGCTGTGCTTTATTGTACAAGACTGTTGTCTACAATTGCACAAACCCTAGCAGAAACCGGGCTAATGCCTGGGATTTATTCACTGGTCACAGTATCCGGAGTATCTGAAAACAACATTACAATCTATCCTGCGGTACACGTAGATGTAACGCAGTATCCAGTAGGTAGGTAACTGCTCTAGCAGTTAGCAATGCTTGCAGCTTGACGACGACTCGACAATCTTCTGGTAATGGAGGACGGTTCTCCCAGCACGTCCCTGTAGTCTCTCAGGGATGATTCTTCAGATACTCAGGAAGCCGGTGTGTAGGGAAGTAACGACCCTCGTCACTCGGATCCATCGGCGGATCTGCAGCACATCACCGTTAAGTGCCAAACCAATATTAATCATATCACAAATCAATAACAAAAACACCAAGAGAATAATGAATATGTGTATACAGAGAGAAAATATGGAAGCAATTTGTGTGGGGCAGTAGCTTAGCTTTACCTGGAGCGGCTGCTGGAGACTTTGCAGCAGGAGGATTGACGACCGGAGCAGCTGGAAGGTTGCCGCCTGGAACGGCCACCGGTGCAGCTGGAGGATCGCCGGCTGAAGCGGACGCCGGGAAAGCGGAGGCGGCGGAGCTGTCGGCGAATGCCATTCGTTGTAGCTAGTCCGGCAAGGCACAAGGCTGTTCAGTTCAGCTACCCAATGTCTCCAGAATATATAGCCATTGTAAAGGTTATTTCTTTGTTGGCTAGACAGATAGATCATCAGAGATCCATTATATTCCCTGGGAACTCAAGAAGAATCACATCTATCGATATTTCTCTTCAGGAATAAGGTGTGCGTTCACATGGCACCAGTATTCGAGAATCATAGCTAGTCGGGGTTAGTTTTTCTTTAGGACTAGGAGGCTAGCAGATGTAGGAAGGTAAGTGGCAACCTGAAGAGTCAAAAATCTTGGGCATCAGCTTGTAGTTTCAGAATAACTAAATGGGGGATTGTGTGAGTGCCAAAAGGCCTACCAAGAACGACCAGTCTAGTAATTCCATTGCATGCCACATTTCACTTTCCAGTTTTCTAGACCCTTTCCAAGCAACTCAATTACAAGGTGCTTTGCTGACAGTGTTGGATAGAGGTTTTCTGTTTTGAACAAACACCAGGTAGCAAATCTGGTTGTGCATCTTCCTTGTTCCTTGCCACTATATCTTGGACTACCAACAAAACATTTGATCAGCCATTTGCGGAGAAGGTCTCTTGTTGATAGTTGGAATTAACAGCAATGGCCTCTTCGAGTGTCCTGTCTCCAAACATCGCATGGGTTCTTTGTCACTTCATCTTTTGCAGCATATCGTTAGCCATCTGCAATGAAACTGACGATAGACAGGCTCTCCTTTGCTTCAAGTCTCAGCTCTCTGGTCCATCTAGAGTTCTATCCTCATGGAGCAACACATCCTTGAATTTCTGCAACTGGGATGGAGTCACCTGCAGCTCACGAAGTCCTCCCCGGGTCATTGCAATAGATCTCTCATCAGAAGGCATCACGGGCACCATATCACCTTGCATTGCCAACCTGACCTCTCTTATGACACTTCAACTGTCAAACAACAGCCTCCATGGCAGCATACCACCCAAGCTTGGCCTCCTGAGAAAACTCAGGAACCTCAACCTCAGCATGAACTCTTTAGAAGGTAACATTCCATCTCAACTTTCTTCATATTCCCAAATTGAAATCCTAGATTTGTCAAGCAATTCCTTCCAAGGTGCAATCCCAGCTAGCCTAGGCAAATGCATACATCTTCAGGATATTAATCTCAGCAGAAACAATTTGCAAGGTAGAATCTCCTCTGCTTTTGGGAATCTTTCTAAGCTGCAAGCACTGGTCCTCACTAGCAACAGGCTCACAGATGAAATACCACCATCTCTAGGCAGCAGCTTTTCTCTCAGATATGTTGATCTTGGGAATAATGATATCACAGGAAGCATACCAGAGTCCTTGGCAAACAGCTCATCTCTCCAAGTACTTAGGCTCATGAGCAATAATCTTAGTGGAGAAGTCCCAAAGTCTCTATTCAATACTTCATCACTTACCGCCATTTTCCTACAACAAAACAGCTTTGTTGGTTCTATACCCGCTATTGCGGCCATGTCCTCCCCCATTAAATATATTTCCTTAAGGGACAATTGCATCTCAGGAACAATACCGCCCTCACTAGGTAACCTTTCTTCCCTACTTGAACTTCGCCTTTCTAAGAACAATTTAGTTGGTAGCATTCCAGAGAGCTTAGGTCATATCCGAACACTAGAGATACTGACCATGAGTGTGAACAACTTGTCTGGTCTAGTTCCACCATCTCTCTTCAACATTTCATCCCTGACATTTCTTGCTATGGGAAACAACTCGCTCGTGGGAAGATTACCCTCTGATATTGGCTACACACTTACAAAAATTCAGGGCTTGATCCTCCCGGCAAACAAGTTTGTTGGCCCAATTCCAGCTTCACTTCTCAATGCCTACCACCTAGAGATGCTCTACCTAGGTAATAACAGTTTCACTGGACTCGTGCCATTCTTTGGATCATTACCGAATTTGGAAGAACTTGATGTGTCATACAACATGCTAGAACCGGGCGATTGGAGCTTTATGACATCACTCTCGAATTGCTCTAAATTGACTCAACTGATGTTAGATGGGAACAGCTTCCAAGGAATTTTGCCAAGTTCAATCGGCAATCTTTCTAGCAATCTTGAGGGATTATGGCTAAGAAATAACAAAATCTATGGACCGATACCGCCAGAAATAGGTAATCTAAAGAGTCTCAGTATATTGTTTATGGATTACAATCTTTTCACTGGTACTATACCACAAACAATTGGAAATCTGAACAACTTAACTGTTCTATCATTTGCACAAAATAAGCTCTCAGGCCATATCCCTGACGTTTTTGGCAACCTAGTTCAGTTGACAGATATAAAATTGGATGGGAACAACTTCAGTGGAAGAATACCTTCAAGTATAGGGCAATGTACTCAACTCCAGATACTCAACCTTGCTCACAACTCATTAGATGGGAATATACCAAGTATAATATTCAAAATTACTTCGCTTTCTCAAGAGATGAACTTGTCACACAATTACTTGACTGGAGGAATGCCAGACGAAGTTGGAAATCTCATTAATTTGAACAAACTTGGAATCTCAAACAACATGTTGTCTGGAGAGATCCCATCCTCCCTTGGCCAGTGTGTGACTCTGGAGTATCTTGAGATACAAAGCAACTTCTTTGTAGGAGGTATTCCGCAATCTTTTATGAAATTAGTAAGTATAAAAGAGATGGATATATCTCGGAATAATTTGTCTGGGAAAATCCCACAGTTCCTCAACTTGCTGAGTTCCCTACATGACCTCAATTTATCCTTCAACAATTTTGATGGAGTCATTCCAACGGGTGGCGTTTTCGACATTGACAATGCAGTATCAATTGAAGGAAATAATCATTTGTGTACAAGCGTTCCAAAAGTTGGTATTCCTTCTTGTTCTGTTTTGGCTGAGAGGAAAAGGAAACTCAAGATCTTGGTTCTAGTCCTAGAGATACTGATACCAGCTATCATTGCTGTTATAATCATTCTATCCTATGTTGTGAGAATTTATGGAATGAAGGAGATGCAAGCAAACCCACATTGCCAACAAATTAATGACCATGTGAAAAACATAACATATCAAGACATTGTAAAGGCTACAGATAGGTTCAGTTCTGCCAATTTAATTGGCACAGGATCGTTTGGGACGGTTTACAAAGGTAATCTAGACCGTCAGCAAGATGAGGTTGCCATCAAAGTATTTAACCTTGGAATTTATGGGGGCCAAAGGAGCTTTAGTGTGGAGTGTGAAGCTCTAAGAAACATTCGCCATCGAAATCTTGTAAAAATCATCACTCTGTGCTCTTCAGTGGATTCCAATGGGGCAGACTTCAAAGCCCTTGTGTTCCAATATATGGCCAACGGGAACTTGGACACTTGGCTACATCCAAGGGCTCATGAACACAGTGAGAGGAAAACTCTGACTTTTAACCAAAGAATCAATATAGCCTTGGATGTAGCATTTGCTTTGGACTATCTGCATAACCAATGTGCATCTCCGCTAGTACATTGTGACTTGAAGCCAAGCAATATCCTTTTGGACCTTGACATGATTGCTTATGTCAGTGACTTTGGCCTAGCAAGATGTCTAAACAATACCTCAAATGCATATGAAGGAAGTTCAAAATCTTTGGCTTGCCTAAAGGGATCTATAGGATACATCCCACCAGGTGAGATAACCATATTCATAATGGCCAACTCTTTTTGTTCTTCATAGAATTGTGGAGACAGGACATATAAAATATCTAATTTATTACATTCATAAATTAAATGCAGAGTATGGCATGAGTGAAGTGATATCAACCAAGGGTGATGTCTACAGCTTCGGTGTGATTTTATTGGAAATGATAACAGGGAGTAGTCCTACTGATGAAAAAATCAATAATGGTACAAGCCTTCATGAACATGTTGCAAGAGCTTTTCCCAAGAATACCTATGAGATTGTTGATCCCAGGATGCTACAAGGTGAAATGAACATAACAACAGTGATGCAGAATTGCATCATTCCATTGGTCAGAATAGGTCTATGCTGCTCTGCTGCATCTCCTAAGGACCGATGGGAAATGGGGCAAGTTTCTGCCGAAATCCTTAAGATCAAGCATATATTCTCAAGCATACATGGTGTATGAAATAAAGCATCAGCAGGATGGTAGCTAGTGTTGTATTTAAATGACAATGGTTATACAGAGCTACTACCTTTTCCATTTTCATTTGCATCTTGTACATCTATTAAAGTTTTAGGCAGCGGTCATGTCAAGTTCTTCCAAAAGAAGTTGAATACATCTATGGTAGGACCAATTAAATGGTAGGACCTCAACTAATTTGCACTAGTATTCCGATCGAAGCTAGGCAATCGTCAAAGCTAGATTTGTGTCAGATTGCAAAACCTCAAGTTTGGACATGAACCCAATAGTACAAAATTAGCACAATCAAGGGCAAATAAGAGTAGAGACGGACGCACGCATCAATCTCACACCGCCTGATTCGCACCAAACAAGATGATAGATCAAAGCAGACAGATAGGCACAAATTGCAAAGGTTAGGGCCAAAGGGGGCGCACCTCATATCATAGCTGCCTTTGTGTCCCGGCTACTCTCGGAACCCTAGCTACCGCGCCGCGCCACATGGACCTCGCCGTATCTCCGGCAGCGTGCCCCGCAATAGGGCGTCCCCGGCCGCCGGCCAATCACACCACACCAGCCGCCATGCCTCGGCGCCGCAGCTCGCGCGCCAGCGAACCAAAACATCGGTCGCCGCAAGAGATCAGCACCGGGCCGCGAGCGCGCGCCGCCGCTGATGCCAGCCTCGGTGATGGGATGGCCTGCGACCGCCGTGTGTGCTGCGCGCGCGCTCGCCGGGGCGCCGCCGTCGTCGCGCGTCGGCTGCCGCGCGAGCTGGCTGATTTCCTCGGCTCGGGTCTATCTAGGCTTGTGCGCTGGCTCCCTCTTCTGGGTATGGTTGGGCTATAATTTGGGCCATCGTGGTTCGTGGACCTATCTAGGCCCAAATCAGCTCTGTCGGTCTCGATTCTCGAATTTCCTCAGTCATCAAGTGTCAAACTCTGCGCACAATTCATGTTAAGAAGACTAGCCAAAGTGAAAATCTTCTTGTTTGCAACTCCAATACAATTATTTTTATTTTTATTTATTTAACATTGTAACAAAACTCAGTCCTCCTCACTATGTGATTTAATTTATTTCCTGTGTGGTTCTGATTTTTTTCTCTCTCTCAAAGTTGGCCTCTTTGGAACGAAGGATTTTTAGATGAATGTATTGCACAAGAATTAAAATATTTTTTTAAAAAAATACTGTAAACTTCCTTTGTTAAAAAAGGAGCATTCTCATTTAACTCATTTTTTAATAATAGAAATGATTTACATCTCCGATCTATGCCCCAATAAGAATACGACTACTGAGTCAAGAAAACATAAATAAAAATACTCGAGGTTATGGGAGCATTTAACTCATAACGTTGAAGCAGCGAGAAATATTGGCCCGGTTTAGTTCCAAAAAGTTTTTCCAAAAAACATCACATCGAATCTTTGGACACATGCATGAAATATTAAATATAGATTAAAAGGAAAACTAATTGCACAGTTAGGGAGGAAATCGCGAGACGAATATTTTGAGTCTAATTAGTCCATGATTAGTCATAAGTGCTACAGTAACCTACATGTGCTAATGGTGGATTAATTAGGCTAAAAAGATTCGTCTCGCGGTTTCCAAGTAAGTTATGAAATTATTTTTTCATTCGTGTCCAAAAACTCTTTCCGATATTCGGTCAAACGTCCGATGTGACACCCAAAAATTTTCATTTTGCGAACTAAACAGGCCCATATTAAGATAAGACTTTATATTTTTACTAACTACCACAAAACTTCCTATCGGAACCGTCAGATTACCGTCGGTTCATTTCTGTGTGAGCCGCCGGTTTCAAATCCATTTGATTTTGGATGGTCTTTTTAACGCTTTGTATGCAGGCAGCAGATCAAATGAATCGGAGCTGAATATACGTGGTTCGAACAAGAGAGCGTGGAATGCATTTGTTGTCCTTCCATGGATCTTTTATCATGGAGCGTTAGATGATCAACGTTCCAAATTAATTCCAAGCATGAAAGAAGATCGTCTCTCATTGGACCGTAGGAATCAGAATCGGTACAGTTCCATAACAAAAGATTGATCTACAGTCCGTTAATTTTAAGGGGTTTTATGCCTAACGAGAATTCGTTAGTTGGACTGAGCATGAAGAAGAGGAGAATATTGATGTATGTTTAGATTTAAATATTTTGCCAAGAACATCACATCAAATATTTAGACACATGTATAGGGTATTAAATGTGGGGAAAAAAATCAATTACACAGTTTATATATAAATTGCGAGACGAATCTTTTGAGCCTAATTATGCTATGATTTGACAATGTGATGCTACAGTAAACAATTGCTAATGACGGATTAATTAGACTTAATAAATTCGTATCGCAGTTTACAGGCGGAATTTATAATTTATTTTGTTATTAGTCTACAGTTTAGTAATTCAAATATATATCCGTATACTTCCAAAACTTTACACCCAAAGAATTAAACACATCCGTATTAGATGGTACGGCTGAAGACAACAATTTCAATGGAATGATAGACAATGTCGGATACGCTTCAGATCCACCTGAAAACATTCATAATGAACCTGATGTTGCCTGATGTAAAGCTACACGTACGTACTCCCTCGATCCCAAAAAACTTAATTTCTGAAGTTTAAATTTTATCTCACAAAAAATCAAGAGAAAATTCCCTATCTAGCAAAAAAAAAAAAGTTGCTCTTCCCTCTATAACACCTAAACTTCAAAAGTTCCCAAGACATTTCTAAAATTTTCCTTCCCTGTGTAGCCTATGTAGCACTTCCGTTAGTTTTTGCACTTAACAGTGTTAACTAGCAGGAGAAAAGACGGTTCTGTCCTCTTTAGTTTCCAGACTTGCCTGTACATGATATTGGTTATTAATTACTTAAGTTAATTAATGACAAGTGAAACCACAAGAGGGTAATTATTATTTTTTTCAAAAGAGTGGATCGGCATGTTATATTTACCGTGTTACATTAAATCAAAAGAAAACACGTCTAAAATACCAACAATCATGTTCGGGCAAGTCTGAAAACTAAAGAAGGGCAAGACCATCTTTTCTCCTGCTAGTTAACACCGTTAAGTGTAAAAACTAACGGAAGTGCTACATAGGGAAGAAAAATTTTAGAAGTGCCTAGATAGGAAACTTTTGAAGTTTAGGTGCTATAGAGGGAAGAACAATTTTTTTTATGCTAGATAGGGAATTTTTTCAAAAATCAACTTCTATCACTCTACCTACTCCAGCATATAAAACGATAAGTTTTATCCTTAAATACCTTTTACCTACCTATTACTTTTACTACTTTTTCTAATAATGAGGAGTATTTTCATCATTTTTACTTCCCACTATTTTCTTCTTGGAAGTCTAGGAGTTGATATTTTGTGGGATGGAGGGAGTACTGTACGGGTGACAAGTGACAAACAGTTCGAAAGTTTCCAAAGTTTAATATTGGACTCCGCTACACTGCTGTACCCAGGTTACAAGAAGGTAGTACAAAATTAACGTAGAATATTATTCCCTATGTTTCGAAAAGAACCCAATTCTGAATTTAAATTTGGAGTTTTTTTTTAAAAAAGAATTTAAATATGGACATATAGTCTGTTTAGTAGAGCTCCAACTCCTAAATTTAGCTTCAGAAGTTGGGTTTGGAGTGAAGTTGTGGAGCAGCTTAAACTGTTCCACCTCTGTAGTTTATTTTGTGAGAGCGTTTCACCTAGCTTCGCTCTTATTTTGGATAGAGCTAAAACTGTTTAGCTGAGTTCTAGCTCCTGGACAGGTGGAGGCGTGGAGCGGGAGTTAGAGCTATGCCAAACAGGCTCGTAGTGTATATTCAAATATAAACTCAGTATTATATTTTTTTACGGGCAATTGTAAATTTACCAATGCTTTGAATTGTTATTTTAAAACTGCCACTAGAAAATTACAAAAATACCACTGGAACTATCATTCGAGTGTCATCCTTGCAAAATTGAAAAAACTAGTTGCAAATTTGCAAATGCCTCATTTTTTTTAAGACAGTGGGAGTACTCTTGAGCTATTACAATTAAAGGCTAGCGACCGTTGATCTGATAAAAACTTTACTGAATTATTGATTATGTCTCTTGGTGAACATGCTTACCAAGGGAAATGTTTCGCCAGCAAACACGTACCAAGCAAAGAAAATCGTACGCCCATTGGAAGTAGAAGTGGAAAAGATGCATGCGTGTCCAGTGATCACATCTTAGGCCATTCATTGTGGGCCTCCGTGGTATCCAGCCTCACCAGCAAAAGGAGAATATTCGCTGCCACGTACTCAATCTACATAGCATTCTCAAGTTCGCGTAGCTAAAGTTGGCTACGGGTTCCTCGTCAGGTTTGAAGGAGGGACCCATGCTTGACCTCCGCGCTATCAGCGAAAGGAAAGAGAGGAAAGAGACCTCGTCAGCATCCCCGCACTCCACGCCGCTGAGCTCGCTACTCCGCTCGGGAGAGGCCGCTCGACGCCGAACCGGACTACCCCATTCTACGCTGCAGCAGCTGCCAGAGGAGGAGGGGGAAAGCGCGGCGGAGGAGATGAGAAGGGGACAGGGAGGCGTCAGAGAAGTGGAGGCGCTCAAGGTCGAGGCCGACGTCGATTCAGAGTCGGCGCCGTCGCCGCTAGGGCTGGCTAGCACCTGTGTCGCGTGCCGTCACCGCTAGGGCTGCGCCCAGCACTGGCATCGTGCGCCGTCGCTCGGAGCTACCTCCGCCCGCCGCAACTGCGTCGCCTCGTTGCCGTGCCCATTCTGCGCCGCCGCTTGTCGTGGTCCCCCGCCACTAGATCCTGCCGCCCCGCCGCTCAGCGTTGCTCGAGGGAGAGAGGAGGGGTGGTGTGCCGAGCCGCCCCGCTACTAGGGGTGGGCAGAATAAGACCGAACCGAAGAACCGAGACCGAAAAGACCGAGACCGAAAAATTCATTCTCAACTATTGAAAGACCGAAATATATTCGGTTTATTCGGTCATGGGCCTCAATTAACCGAATTGACCGAAATAACCTAATTAGGCCCAACAGATCTAGTTGGCCCAATAAGCCCACTAATAAGAAACCCTAGGGGCAGGTGTGTCACAAGCATTGACGCATCGTTTCATCCCCATCCATCGTGGAGCGGTGTTGTCCCAACTCCCGTCTCCATCCCATCCACATCCTCCTTCGCTCCATCGCCGGGCGCAGCTTCCGCCTCCAGCCGGCGCGCCGCCTCCACCGCCGGGCGTCGCCTCCAGCCGGCGCGCCTTCGCCTCCACCGCCTGGCGCCACCTCCAGCTGGCCCGGCGCCGCCTCCACTAATTGTTGATTTGCTTTGCTTTTGCTGTTTTTACAGATAGTTTTGTTGATTTGCTTTGTTTTTGCTGTTTTTAAGGTTAGTTCGGTCTATGACCGAGACCGAACTGAACTAACCGAAGACCGATTTGCTCGGTCCTGAGATTTGTTGGAGACCGATCGGTCTTGAGATTATAAAGACCGAATTTTCAAAAAGACCGATGTACCGAACCGAATTTTTCGGTTAGACCGAATGCCCACCCCTACCGGCTGCTTCGAGCCGCTCCGCTGCCGATTGGGCTGCTCGGTGCCGGCGTCGTGTCGGTTCTGCCCGACTCTCTGCGGTGGGGAAAGGAAGAGACGGGATAGGGGAAAGTGTAAAGTGAAAAGGTGGTATTGGTGGGACCCACTATACGCTACTTGTGTATTGTGGTCTCGTGGAGTTTGCACTGTGTAACATGTGGCTAATATTGTTTTTGGTCTAGTTGACATAGGAGGTCCACCAAAATTTGGGGACGCACTCTGAACGACCATAAACCGCAAAGAGTACGATGTCTTAAGTCAGTTGCCTGGTATGTAAAATAGTAAAAAGCTAAAAGCTAAATAATAAAAGTGACTAAGCCTCTCATCGTTTCTTCTATGGCTAATTAATAAGCTACGAAAAAAATGAACGAAGCATAAAAACATAATATATGATTAAAACTTTCTTATACATGTTCTTTCCGATTTAAAAATCAATGTTGGAAAATACACCACGATGAATAACTTTAAAATAAGCTCTAAAAATTAGATTCAAAACTCAAATTAAATTTCGTTGCAACTGATAAGCCAACAACCAAAGTAAAATAAGTTTCAAAATTCAAAATTAGCTAGTATGCCTTATAAAAAGCCTGAAAGAGGAATACAAGAAAGCTGCAAGGCTCGATCAATCTCTCATGGATAGAGACACATAACAAATTATCAATCTTGCCTCCGGCGCCGGTGATGCGTATGGCTTCTCGATCTCGGCTGTGGTGACATCGTCGTCGCGTTCACCTCATGGGTGTTCCCACAGATCGATGTCTCATGTTAAGAGCTTGGATTGACCTCGCGGAGCAACTGGGAGCCAAATAAGGACAGGCCGTACATGAGTAGAAATAAACAATTAATATAACACATCGTACATTCATATTCCCTTCGTCTTAAAATATACGTAAGGGACTTTAAGGGTCTGTTTGGTTGCCCTCACCAAGGTTGGCCCGCACCAGTCCATGCAAATTCCTGATGTTTGGTTGCCTGCTTGGGCCTCCCAGCCTGTCCACGCGAATGCAAAAAAAAGCCCCTCAGCCAGGCCCGACAGAAACGGCCGATTCCCACTTCGCTGCTCGGCCTGGCTCGACTGATGTACACCGCTGCACCCGCGCCTGCACCCGCGCGTGCAACTCACGGAGGATGGGGTCACTGTTGCTTCCCAGAATCGCTCCCTCCCCGCCTCACTTCTCCCTCTCGCGAAAAAACTAGGGTTTACCCTAGCTCTGGCGGCGGCGAGGCGCGGCGCGGCGCTGCTCTCGTCGTCACTCCGGTCGCGAGCGGCGGCCCTCTCCTCCGACTCCGGCTCTTCTCCATCAGTTCCTCCCCCGGCGTCGGTCATCCTCCCTCTCGTTTGCCGGCTCTCTCCGTCGTGCCCCCCTGTTCCACCATCACTCTCCGTTGAGCACCAGGGTAAGTTCATGGATGGTTGTTCGTCGCCCATTGCAAGGTTGGGCATCCTCTTCCCTGTCCGTCCTTCCCCAGTTTTTTCTCCTCTATTTGGTTGATTTGCTGTGATTTGAGTGGATGAGAACATGGGGCCTTCATAAATCTGCTAGATCTAGTAAAAACTTATACATTTTCCTAGTTGATTATGGTAGATTTAAATGTTGAAACCATCTACTGTTGGTATCCTTTTTAGTTGTTCATTTTGTGCCAGATCTACTATTTTTTCAGTTTGCTACAGAGGAATGTTCAATGTCAGAGCAAAGTTTGGGTGCTGTTTTGTTACTATTTTGGCTGTGCACATTATTTTGCCGATTGTGTTTTGTCTAAGTAAATATTCATGGTCGATGATGGTATGCCACTGGAGGTAGCATCCCTTGGATGTGGCGGCCGTGGCATACATGCATACGAAATTGATTTGCAGTACTTAGCAGCGACAAGACCATCCTTTTATTTCTGAATTGACTATGCATTATATATGTTATTTGCATAGATGGAAGAAATGCAACGCATTCGGCGGTCCCTGATTGCTAAAGCAGCTGGATTAGTTGCTGTAATGAATGCTTACATTCTGTTTATTACAAGAAGAGCCATGCGACGTACCCCTAGGATCTCCTATGGCCCATTGTCCGAAAGGGACATAGCTAGACAATCCAATCTTAGTTTCATCTATCATACAGATGATACAAATTACTTAAATCAGCTCAGAATGAAGAGAGCCCCATTTTTTCAGTTGTGTAACTTGTTACGAGAAAGAGCGTTGTTGCGGGACAGTATACATAGCTCAGTGGAAGAACAAGTTGCCATGTTTCTTCTTGTTGTAGGCCACAACCACAGATTTAGAGCTTTGCAACCCACTTTTAGGAGGTCAATTGAAACTATCAGTAGATACTTCGCTGAGGTATTATTCTCTATTGGTGAGCTGCGAAATGAGATGATAAAACCACCCTCATCTGAGCCTCATTCAAAAATTACATCCAATCGAAGATTCAACCCTTATTTTAAGGTAAAAATTTGTTTGCAGCGTTTTGACTACAAAATATGTTCTTTCAACAATCATGTCCTAATATTTCTCACTGGTCATTAGGATTGCATTGGTGCAATAGATGGAACTCATGTGCTTGCTCGAGTTCCATCAACAATATCTGCTGCCTTTAGGGGTAGGAAGAAAGAGACCACCCAGAATGTAATGGCTGCAGTGGACTTTGATCTTAGATTTACATACGTACTTGTTGGGTGGGAAGGATCTGCACATGATGCCCTCATACTTGCAGATGCCTTGGAGAGGGATGATGGTCTTAGTGTCCCCTCAGGTAATAGAAGTGTTAAAACTAACGATTAATAAGGATTCTCATTTATCTCATATGATTATTACACTCATAGCTTTTATCTCTTAGGAAAATACTATCTCGTTGATGCTGGATATGCTGCTAGACCGGGGTTCCTTCCGCCATATTGTGGGTGTCGATACCATTTGAAGGAGTATGATAGAAGAAACTACCCTCATGATTCGAGAGAGTTGTTTAATCTAAGACACTCCTCTTTAAGGGTCACGATCGAGCGGGCATTTGGCGCACTCAAAAACCGCTTCAGAATACTCTATAACAAGCCTTTCCATCCATACAAGACCCAAGTCAAATTGGTCCTTGCATGCTGCATACTTCATAACTGGATACTTCAGTTTGGGATGGATGACCATGTGCCACTAGAGAGTGATTGGAACTCAGATAGTGATGATGAGGAGTCCGATGACTTAGATGAAGACAATAGGGGAATGGCGCAAATTAGGGATGATTTGGCTGGTGCTATGTGGAACAATAGAGGGTCGTCTAGGGTCTGACCTGCTTAGGGATTAATTTGTAACTCTCTATCTGTGAACTTAGGATGGTGTTGCACTGTTATCTATTCATGCATGATGATTGTTGTACCCTGTTGCACTGTTATCTATTAATTTGAGACCTCGAGATATTTGCAATGATGCTGTTTATTACATCTATCGATTTATGTTAAATTTATTTGTTCATTTGCATGTGGTAAATATAGGATGGCTGAGGCTGGTGGCGGGAATGGTGGCCATGGTGGCCATGGTGGACACCATGGAGCCTTGCATTGGACAACCAACATGTCTAGCTTAATGCTAAGGCGCATGGTTGAGCTTATAGCAACAGGTGTTAGGACTGACAAGGGTTTCAAGGAAGTTCACCTTAACCAAGTTGCTAGATCTTTGTCTGATCACTATGGAATTGAAATTAGTAGAACCCAAGTGTATAACCATCTTCGCAAATGGCGTCAAAGGTGGGTGCGTATCACTAGGCTCAAAGACCTTAGTGGGGCTCTTTGGGATGATCAGACCTCAACGATTATCCTAGAAGAGGAGCACTACATGGGACATGTCAAGGTTTGTGTCTAACTATCACATACAAAACACACTGCATTAGTACACATCATATCTCACTTTAAATCTAATGTTCTCATATAGGAACACCCTAAGGATGCTGAGTTTCTCAATGTGCCTTTAGAGAACTATACACAAATGGCAATAATTTTTTCAAATAGGCAAGCCACTGGGAGATTTGCTATGGGGTTAAATGAAGCACTTGGAAACCCTGCTGGTGAGGCTGACAGTGGTCTGGGACCTCTTGATGGCACTATTGGGGATGGTATTGCTGCTGGACCAAGTGGTGTGGGTGCTGAAGGTCCTGGAATTGCTGCTCGAGCAAGTGGTGTTGGGCCTACTGGTGAGGATTCTACCTCATATAAGAAGAGGAAGAGAGCATCTGCTTTGAATGAAGGTGAAGTTGCTCTCATCAGCAACATGACAGATTCAGTGAACAACATGGCTTCAGCAATAGGCGCTACTGCACATACTGAGGTTCACCCTGATTTGTGCAACACAGTGATGGATTTTCCAGGTTTCAGTGAGGATCAGTTGGACCTTGTTCTAGCTTATCTAACTAAGGAGAAGGCTGAAAGCCTTGTATACATTCAGAAGAATGAGGCTCGTCGTGCTCGTTGGGTTAGGAAGTTCCTGAATGAGCATCACCCTGAGAGCATCTAACTATTTAACTAACTATTATGGAGAGGTGGTACTGGGACACCATATTATGTAATATTGCTTAGATGCAGATTAAGGTGGTAGTGGACACCACATATATGTCTTTTGTAGAATGTTGGCTACCTGTTGATTAAGGTGGTAGTGAACACCAGTAGCTGAATGGCTTTTGTAGTGTAAACTGCAGGGTATTGCATGACCCATGTTGAATCTCTGCCTTGCTTCTTCAATGATGATTATTGCCACTGATGAATGCTTCACGCCACTGTTTGTGCTGCATATGAAAGGATGCTTCTGCACTTGCTTTTTTTATGTTGTTATGGTTCCAAGATGCTTCTGATGCATATGAAGAGATGCAATTGTGAGAGATTTCCAAGATGATTAAGATTAATAGTGTTGATTTGTAATGCATAATAACATATTTCCTGCACTTAGTTCTTTTTTGTTAGGGTCAAGCTGGAAAATACTGCAATTGATGATTAATAGTACTAATCTGTGATGCATAAGAACATACTATATGCACTTGTCATTTTACCAGATTGCATATGTATAACAATTTATTACTAATATACCAATTGGTTTAGTTTTGTATAACATCAATGTAATTGTATATACTCAAAGACCAAAATATTTGATCTGTTCCTTGTATATACTCAAAGACCAACCAAATAAAATAGACGTGCATAGCAATATTTTAAGCAATTTAGCTCACAAATAATAGTAAGCCAAAGAGCAAATAAAATTTTAACACGACCTCATGGAGTAACCTCACCGCACAGAAGTAGACACTTGAGAAAATTTTCACACCACAAACTTATTAGGGTAACCTCACCACTCATAGGAGAGGGTGTTTACACCCAAGATGCATCCATCCAACCAAACAACATCTCCTGCATGCAACCATTCCACCAATCCTTTGCTGCAACCAACCAAACATCATCTCAACAGATCCAGGTTCATCAGATGCGGGCAACCAAACAGCTGCATGTGTATCCTCTCAACCAGGCCAGACTCAGCCTGGATGGAAGAGATGAGCCAGGCTAAGGGAATACGAGCAACCAAACGCACCCTAAAGGGATACAACATATCCTAATATTGTGAATCTGGATAGACTCTTTATTCATAATTGTGGTATTAGGATGTAAATTCGTAGGACCAGAATGTGTCACATCTCTCTAAAATCTCTTATATTATGAGACGGATGAAATAGATAGTGCGTACAGGCAAGCGTTTGTTACCTCCTCGAGGGTCGTTTTTAGGATCTTGAAATGTGTCATGAGGATCAGACTCAGGTTCGAGCGGACCAACTGGCAGCCAAGGAAGAACCGATCGATCCCATATACATGAGAGAGAATAGATAATTGGAAACACACATATTAGAGTACTCATTCGTTACGGCGTTACCTGGAGAAGAATGGGGTTCCGTTTTAGGATCTTTACCTGGGTCCTGCAGGCTATGCATTGGACCAATCGACGTCTTAGTAACTGGACCATGAGGAAGGAGAATGAAAGGGTGAGAGCTGGGTCATTAATTAGCTAGGGAAGGGATCCTCTGACATGATGATTTTCTCTTGATTTCACGTCGGAGGATCCCTTTCCGGTCACCAGGGCCACGTCGTGGCTTGGATCATCAAACTCATCGAGCCAAGGCGAAAGTGCTATAGCTAAGAGCGTGTTAATTAATTACCTGGAGGAGGCTTGGACTCGCAGTTGGGTGATATGGGACGGACCACGGCGCGGATCGTCAGCTCTATGCTTAACCCGGGATGTTCTACTAGAACGGGTGTTAGTTTCAGTTGACAAGCTGCAATTAATATGCCAAACAACAGTGTTAACAGAAAACTAGCAATACATCATCATTCAGAACATACAAATTAACACAGTGCAACACCAGCCGGTAATTAATACATACCTGGAGCGGCCGGAGGCTCGACGGCCGGCGGAGCAGAAGCAGCAGCAGCGTCGCCGCCTGCAGAAACGGGAGTGGCTGCCACGACGCTGCTGATAACGGGCGCCATCTTCCTGCTACTCCTTTTGGCTGCCTAGCTAGCTAGATGTACGTAGTATTGTGTACTAGTGTGTATACTAGAGATGTTCGCTTCTACAGTTCTACTATATATGGCTATTTATATATGCGTTTCATATATCGATCAGATTCCCATGACAGACCTCAGTCACACCTCTTATGGTTATTTTTTTTATATGTGGTTCATAAATAGATCAGATTCCCGTGACACACCAAACACCGTTGAACCGTGAAGAAGCTAGAGGCGTGCGTCTACACCATAAATTAAAATAGAGTGAATTAGATATTAGGCCACATCTTATTACTAGACTTGCAAGTTAGACTAGGGGTAAACCAATATTGTCACTTTGCGATAAAAAAAAATTGTCACTTTGAAATAGGTAGTTTTGCACAAGTTTCATATTGGACTGGTGTTTCCTAATTCTCCTCTTTCTTTGCTTCATTAAGTTGAGGCCGATGTCTATTAGCTCGAGCATGGTACACCAATGCCACTAATATTGTCCCATGCTCGAGAGTGATCAGATGGCATCAGTAGTGGGCTCTTTGATTTAGAGGAAGAGGAGAGGGTGGTGTTAGGTGAAACAAATGGCAATATTATGTGGTCTAAAGTGAAAATCTTGGCTAAGACCTCGTCCAACCCGCAACAAGGGTCAAAATATATGGCCTAAACTGTAATTTACTCAATAAAATATGGCATACACCCTCTGTTATAAAATATACAAATTTAGTATGGGATATGAATACTACGAATTTAGACGACATCGAAATTGAGAGTTAGAAAATTACTGGAGAAAGAAATGTGGCATAAGGTTCAGACCAAAACTCGGTGGAGAAATGAAATGGTTCGTCTGTCAACTATCAAGTGCTTTGCTCGTACCGCCGGCTAGAACTCTACATTTTTAGATAAATGATCACCTACTGATATATCAACTCTCACGAACAATGCTATAGACCCCCCTCATCACTAAAGGCAACCGCAATGTATAAGTTGAAAGTTGGTATTAACGTGAGGCCTCAAGTAGAAATAACTTTGTGAGACTTAACAATATATATTGTTTGGCTAAGAAAAATAAGGTGGGGTCAACCCATAAAAAATCATCCTCTACCTTCTTTGAGGTATTCCACGAGTGATATGCTTCCCATGTGCAATCTTTTTTTTTTCTTTTTTTTTTCTTTGTTGCTTGCTTGTTGTAGGTAGTAGTGTAAAGACCTGTAACTATTACTACCTCCTCGCACAATGTGTACTACTAGATAACAAAGGTATATTAATTGTTTACTACCTGGTTTCTACCACGTTGTGGTTGCTCCAAGGGCTCAAAATCTTTATCTGTAATGGGCAAGCCAGTCAATTAAAATTTTTGCCGGTGATGTGGAGGCTTATCTATAGTGGCTCAAAATGATGAGCTGTTAGTGATATGAAAAATCCAGGCAACAAAATGGAAAAAAAAAAGAATCTGCTCTTCCTACCCAAGATTGTCAGTATCCCGATTTGTATCCTAGTATCTTACGATACTACGATCCTACCAAACCAAAACGATATCGATCCCACCTAGTATCCTAATTTTCATAATATCTCGATCCTACTATTCATTACTACACGATCATATGAAATCTTAGGTGATATCCCGATTCTACGATCCCTACGATACTACAAAATATTATTTAAAATAACATGGTTTGAAAATAATTAAATAAATATGCTTAAATTTATATAAAACTCAGTTAAATATATCAAAACCAACATGATTTCTCTCGATAAATGTCTCTATTTGCATAACATATATCATTATTAATTTTTTTATATAGAATGGCTATATATAACTAATATAAATATTAATTAAACTTAAAAAAAGGAAAATCGCATAGTATCCCGATACTACAATACGATATTACTTTGAGCAAAACGATATTATCTAGTATCCCGATCCTGACAACCTTGCTCCCACCGCTATCAAAGCACTCGCTCAAAGCCGCTCTTGCCAGCTCAAGCTCGGAGTGGCTGTCATCGCTATGCCCACTCGATGTAGTCATCGTCGCCGCTTTTCCACCGCACCACCCCTCTTCATGCCGGCTTGAGCTCAGAGTGGTCGGATCTAGGGAGAAACGGTAGTAAGGCAAGACAGGGTGGCAGAAGAGGGTTGGGGCCTGGGGGACACCATGTGGTTGCCGAGCATGCTCAAGGAGTTCACCATGGCTGCATCAGTCAAAGGTCAACATCATCTCTGTGGCTGTCGCCGTTTATCATCGAGTAGCTGACGACGATGACGATAGCGGCAACAGAGGTGCGGTACATGAGTGGGAGGCTGGCAATGGTGTGGCTTAGGGGGAGGATGGACAACACCGCCAACATGTGAGAAGTGGATCCGATGTAGCACTACCATGTCACTGAATGTGGAGATGGGGCAGGCAGAGGTGGAAAGGCGGTGAACTAGTGGAGCGAGCGATAGAGAGGGTGGTGGACTAGGAGGAATGCGGCATAAAATCACTATTAAGAGCATGCCTAGCTATCACATTTTGTAACAGAATGAATGAAGTTAAGTTGGACAATTGATGTGTAATTTTGTTGAATGAATGAAGACATTGTTTAATCAATCAATGAGTGAAATATAGTTTTGTTTAATGAATGAACGGTCACTGTATGTGGTTTGAATAATCTTAGACTGAATGTGGGTCAGCAATGCTAATGCTTGCGTCATATTGTTGGTCTGGAATTGTTATCGTCGGCAAAAATATGTTGGTCGGTAAAAATAATGTCGGCCGGCAAATCTAAACAACTAGAATATATTGAGTGGTCAGTTGGCAAAAATATGTCAATCAGGAAATGTCTTTGCCGACTGGTACTGGTCATCTACAACAACTCATAATAAAGAGTTGTTTTAATTAGAAGGTTATTTGTAACAACACCTATTTAGGACATATTACACACAATACTCCCTCTATTTCACATTATGAGACGTTTTAGTCTTTACATCTCTCATATAGATTTACTAACATCCATATGAATTTAAACATGTAGATAAAGCACATACATGGATCTATATGTATGAAACTATTCAAATCCCAAAACGTCCTATAATTTAGAACAGATGAAGTAATTATCACTAATGGGTCTAAGTCCCTGTAGATACTTTTGACTGTTGATTTAAATAGCCATTATATATATAATCATATGTAACATGTTTTTTTTAACCGCCACAAGTGACACATTAAAGATGTGAGATTCTGTAGAAGTATTTATATATTTTATGATTACTCTCTATTTTAATGGAAGATATGCTTTCAAATACACGTGGTTTTACTAGCGACTATCCTTGGTCAGTTCGGTCAGAGTTATATACCACCGCATCTCTGCAAAGCATATATAATTTACTTGCCAGTTACGAAAATTACTCCAACAACCCATCGGTAAAAAAGTTTAGGGTAAGGCTTTTCAAAAGCCAACCTAGAATCATCCATGCCAACTTAAAAGTAAGGTCCTAACTAAGGGCATGTTCACTTTGATGCCATTTTCAACCTTACCAAGTTTTGGTAAAGTTACCAAAAAAAGTGGCGCCCTAAACCAGCACCGGGGCAAATTCCAATCAGTGAGGGCTAGTTATTTCAGTGTGGTAGAGCTGTCCTCGTTGATGAGGGACCATTAGATGATATTATAATTTTATATTTAATTAAAAAAATAGCATAATGTGCATTAGGCTGGTTGGTAGGATATTCTACTCCAGCAATAGACTATAGAATCGGAGCGGCCGCGGTAAACATTGCCGATATAGAATATTAACAAGACGGAACAGAGCGCACACCGTTAGATTATATGTTTTGGGACAGCCGGCCTATCAAGACTTCACTACTTAAAAATTACATATAGAGGTCAGCGCTAGATGTGTCAGAACAACTAAAACCAGCACCCATAGTACATTTCCTATCTCCACATACAAAACCGGCACCTTTAATATATTATTTATAGGTATCAGTTAATTAAAAACCAACACCTATGATAAGGTGCCAGTTTCTTTTAGAAAACCGGCATCAATCCCAAACTGAGCTGAACCGGGCAAGCCGATCACGTGCCCTTATCCACCACTCGTTGTCCGCCTCCTCTCTCTTGCTCTCGCCACCTCCTCCTCGTCCTCCTCCCCGTATCTGGCATCGGCGGCGGTGGCTTTTCCCGTGGCGGATACAACGGTGGCAGTGTCAGCAGCGGGTGGGGCGGCGTTAGCGGGTTCTCCCACGGCAGGTCCGGCAGCGGTGAGGTCTCCCACAACAGATTGGGCGTTGGCGGCAGGTAGGCGGCATCGACGGGTGTTCCCACGACGATCCGGCATCGGTGGGGTTCCCGCGGCGGATCCGGCGTCGGCGGTGGGCGGGAGGGGAGGCGGCGGGCTACAAGGCGAGAGTATGAGGGGGAGAAGGAGGCTCACCCTCCTCTCCATATGGCAACGGTGGCAGAGGTGGAGAAAAATGCCGGTTGCATCGTGTTCTTGATGTTTTTTATGTTAATCTTTTTGATGTTCTTGATGTTTTTTGTGTTTATGTGTTCTTTGATCTTGTCAGGATGAAGTGGAGCTACTTGAGCATTGAGCCGCTTTTTTTTTGTTCATGTAACCTCAAAGGTGTCGGTTCCTAAACCGACACCTTTGAGAACATCTCAGAGGTGCCAATAATGGGTGCCGTTGGGAAAACTGCACTGTCAGTTTTTATCCGGTAATATACCAGACAGTGCTACCAAGAGCAACACTAGCTGTTTAGAAACCAATAGAGTTGTCGAATATCACTGTTGGTTCATCTCATAAACCTGCAATGATATTCATTTCCAGCCAAAAAATAGATTCATAACTTGATTTACATTTACATCCATTTCAAATTGCACCTCAATTTGATTGGAGAAAAGAACGAATTTGCATACATGCAAATGCTCCACGTATCTACATACTTGCATACACACAGCAACAACGACAAAACTTCACAACTTGCAGCAATAGCTTTCACAAGTTGCAGTAACAACAAAGTTTTCCAACACACAAGTTGCAGTAACAGCAAAGTTTTCCAACATACTTGCAGTAACTTCAAATTCCAACTTGCAAGATTTGCTTAGCAACAAGAATCTCACAACTAGTTGGTTTGTGTGTTGTATCGACATGGCGATAACTTGTTAAATGGACTCTAGCAACGATAGTCTAGGCTCCCTTGACATCGCGGAATCTAGGGCTACCATCTTTCTGATGAAACTTAAAAGGATTTCCAAACTAGTTAAGCATCATTGAGTGCCTCATGCTCAAATTAAGATGAATCGAGTGCTCATGCTCAGACTAAGATGATAGATTGATGGTAGTGTATATGGTAAGAATGAGGAAGAATCTAGTTACTACTCCTATATAGTAGGATAGAATTAGTTTATGAAAAATATAAGCGCACATATTATATTTATTCTTTAAATAAGTCACGACATTAAATTTGTAAACTAGTAGAACCAACTCAAATGATCTAAACATATATACGAGAAAGCTACACATGAATAAATCAAATAGAAAACATGAAGACGAGCATATGGATGATATGTTGTGTGGAGGCGATGGCTCAAGAAAATGTACACATAAATAAATTAAACATTCAAAACATCAGGACGAGATCTAGACATATATATAAGAAAATTACACACGAATACATCAAACATACAAAATATGAAGACGAGTATACAGACAATATGTTGTGTGAAGGCGGTGGCTTGGTACTCTAAAACGCATAACCAAACGAGAAAAGTCACACCTAATTTTTTCGGACTCTATGCCAATTCATCGGAGAACCCGATGAGATTTCAAACACAAAATTCACACGTATGTCACGTGTGCACGCACGCCCCTGGAGCCCAGCCAGGCGAAGCGAGGTGAGCATGTACACGGATGTTTCTCCAGTTCCCTCTACAATATATACATTGCTCAAATGGCTAGAAGAGTATTCACTCTTTTAAGAAAGTCTCTCCCCTATAACTAGCTATGTGGTACTAAAGTTTCACATGCAACTCTTTTCATGAGGTTGATCTTTATGATTTTTCTAAGAATTATTTTCTTCGAGGGCTAATGCCCATACTATAAGTCTAACATTAGTTTCTTTCTTTTATTTAGTATTGTTTGGTTGATGACTTATACTTTCATCCCAACAACCCACAAGCCCATTTGCGCAGCATATCGTCCACTATTCCACTTAATTAGTGCAATTTGCATTTGCAATCTCATTTGTATCCGTTTCACACTTGCACTTGCAAACAGAACGCTCATTGGACAGCGTTGGACAGAGATAGATGATTGCCTCCAGATCCAGATCACTCGATTTATAACGTTGTTTTGTTTTGTTTATGGGTTTAGATACCAGGCTGACAGTCTCACACCGAGAGCTGCTACCTTGACCGCTAATCATGTTCACAGATTCATTGCTCAAAGAGGATGAAGGCATGTGTTCATATTTGGTCCTATTCTTCGGTCAAGTTCTTTGCTCCGGGTTTGGTCAAAATAACTCATCATGCATTCCTACAGATGGATAGATTTCTCAGTCTGTACTGAAGTGTGAATAATTTAAGCCAAAAATGCAGGTTCAGAATAATGTAGTCGTCCGTACATATAGTTTGCTGTGAGAATCTTTTACCAGTTCTTGGTATATTGTACCCCCTCGTTCTTGGAGGAAACTTTTAATTTGGATTGTGTTTCAAATCAGTAAAATAAAAGGATGCAGCTTTCTCTCTAAAAGAAAAAAGAATAATGTACTCATACGTACATAGTTTGCTGTAAGAATCAGAAAAACCCTCTTTGCCTATGGCCAATTAATGCTGGATAAATCACATATCTATTTTGGGTGTGTTTAGTTCACATCAAAATTAAAAGTTTGATTGAAATTGAAACGATGTGATGAAAAAGTTGGAAGTTTGAAAAAAAAAAGTTGGGAACTAAACCAGGCCTTTCTCAGTCTATACTGAAATGTGAGTTTAAGCCAAATGCAGGTTCAGAATAATGAAGTTAGTACATAGTTTGCTGCGAGAGTAAGGTACACATGAATTCGTTACCTTAACACACACTAAAAAGAACAAGTATTAACGGCAGTTCCTTGATCTCACTAAATTTCTGTTAAAAACACACACGCGTGTAATATTTGTGGTACTAATATTTGAATCCTACTGGAGTCCACCACACTTATGGTGCTTGCATCAATTCCAATGTCCAAAACTAATATTGTTCGACTAAAACCAGTTCATTTTGCGGTATGTATTTGCTAATTGTTTGTTTGATTGGATTTTCTAGAAAACTTATTCGTTGGTATACAACTTTTAGAAGACATACGTGAATGTAGAATTGTGAATAATATAGGAGTAATTGCTGACAGCTTCCCAGGAGTGAGAGATAAATTCAGCTGAGGACTATATAGGCTGAATTCTCGATTGCCCATGACAGTATATACACATAGCAACTGGCAACTATTCTAGTTGCAAATGAAATAACTAGTGAGAACGCCCTCCCAAGCCCCCAACATCATACTGAAAAACAACCACTGGTAGGTACAAATATTCAAATGTGGTTGAATTGCATTGCAAAAAACGTGTATTCATGGATCATACAAGTTCCCACCGTGTCATGGATTAGATCGACCAGATGCCTGGTACCATAGAGAGTATTTATGTAGCGTAGTACTCCTATTACAAAGCAAGTTTTCATCAACTATAGAAGCTTAGCCACACAGAACTAAATGGCATGTTTGGGCGTCTTGTCCTCAGGCATTGTTTGGCTTTGCCTATCCATTATCTTTATGATTCTACCAATAGCCATCAGTGATGAACATGAAAATGATCGTCAAGCTCTCCTATGCTTCAAGTCCCAGCTCTCAGGTCCACCGGGAGTACTAGCCTCATGGAGCAATGCGTCCCAGGAGTTCTGCAATTGGCATGGTGTCACTTGCAGCACACCATCTCCCCGTCGTGTCACTGCAATAGACTTGGCATCAGAAGGCATCTCTGGCTCCATATCACCTTGCATTGCCAACCTCACCTCTCTTACAATGTTGCAACTATCAAACAATAGCTTCAATGGCAGCATACCTTCAGTGCTCGGTCTACTCGGACAACTCAACAACCTCAACCTCAGCATGAACTCTCTAGAAGGTAACATCCCTTCTGAACTTTCTTCATGTTCCCAACTTGAAATCTTAGATTTGTCGAACAATTTCATCCAAGGTGAAATCCCAGCTAGCCTAAGTCAATGCAATCGTCTTAAAAAGATTCACCTCAGCAAGAACAAGCTCCAGGGGAGGATCCCTTATGCTTTTGGGAACCTTCCTAAGCTTGAAAAAGTTGTTCTTGCTAGCAATAGACTCACCGGCGACATACCAGCGTCTTTAGGAAGCAGCCTTTCGCTCACATATGTTAATCTCGAGAGCAATGCTCTCACAGGGAGCATACCACAGTCCTTACTGAATAGTTCATCCCTCAAAGTACTTGTCCTCACGAGAAATACCCTTACTGGAGAAATCCCAAAGCCTTTGTTCACCTCCTCAACTCTTACTGATATTTACCTTGATGAGAATAACTTTGTTGGTTCTATACCACATGTTACTGCCACCCCTCTCCCTTTACAGTATCTATATTTAGGGGGTAACAAACTATCAGGAACAATACCTTCCTCATTAGGAAATCTTTCCTCCCTACTTGATCTAAGTCTCACACGGAACAATTTAACCGGTAGCATACCAGATAGTTTAGGCCATATTCCAACACTAGAACTGTTGAATTTGAATGTAAACAAATTAACTGGGCATGTTCCATCATCCATCTTCAACTTGTCATCCCTGAAAAGTCTAGCCATGGCAAATAACTCACTCACAGGGGAATTACCATCAAACTTAGGTTATACACTCCCAAATATTAAAACATTAATTCTGTCCAATAATAGGTTCAAAGGCCCAATCCCACCTACTCTTGTCAATGCTTCCAATCTGAAATCGCTGTACTTGCGCAATAATAGCCTTACTGGGCTCATTCCTTTCTTTGGATCATTGCTAAATTTGGAGGAAGTTATGTTGTCATACAACAAGCTGGAAGCAGCTGACTGGAGTTTTATTTCATCACTATCGAATTGCTCCAAATTGACAAAACTATTGATAGATGGGAACAATCTCAAAGGTAAACTGCCTCGTTCCATTGGCAATCTTTCCAGTAGTCTCAAATGGTTGTGGCTAAGAGACAACAAAATTTCTGGGCATATACCACCAGAGTTGGGAAATCTAAAGGGCTTGGAAATGTTGTACATGGATTACAATCTTTTGACAGGAAACATACCCCCGGCAATTGGAAATTTGAACAACTTGGTCGTTCTAGCCATGGCCCAAAACAACCTGTCAGGACAAATCCCTGATACAATTGGCAACCTTGTTAAGCTAACCGATCTGAAGTTAGATAGGAATTACTTTAGTGGAGGCATACCAGCAACTCTAGAGCATTGTACTCAACTGGCAATACTCAACCTTGCCCATAACTCACTAGATGGAAGAATACCAAATCAGATCTTCAAAATTTTGTCACTTCCCAAGAGTTGGACCTGTCACACAATTACTTGTTCGGAGGAATACCAGAGGAAGTTGGAAATCTCATTAATCTGAAAAACCTTAGCATCTCAAACAACAGGTTGTCTGGCAACATCCCATCCTCTCTTGGCAAGTGTGTTGCTCTGGAGTCTCTTGAGATGCAAAGCAACTTATTAGTAGGAAGCATACCAAAATCTTTTGAGAAGTTGGTAGGCATCTGGAATATGGATATTTCACAGAACAACTTGACTGGAAAAATACCAGATTTTCTTTCAAACTTCAGTTTACTATATGATCTGAATTTATCATTCAACAATTTTGAAGGAGAAGTTCCAGCAGGTGGTATTTTTCGTAATGCTAGTGTGGTATCAATAGAAGGGAATAATGGCTTGTGTGCAAGAACATCAATGGGAGGTATACCACTTTGCTCAGTACAGGTTCACAGGAATAGGAGACACAAGTCTTTGGTTCTAGTCCTAATGATAGTAATACCAATTGTTTCTATCACTATCATTCTATTAAGTTTTGCTGCATTTTTTTGGAGGAAGAGAATGCAGGTTACTCCAAAATTGCCACAATGTAATGAGCATGTGTTTAAGAATATTACATATGAAAACATTGCCAAGGCCACAAATAAGTTTTCTTCAGATAACTTAATTGGATCAGGATCATTTGCAATGGTTTATAAGGGTAATTTGGAGCTTCAGGAAGATGAAGTTGCCATCAAGATTTTTAATCTTGGTACATATGGAGCACACAGAGGTTTCATTGCAGAGTGTGAAACCCTAAGAAATGTCCGCCATCGAAATCTTGTGAAAATCATCACTTTATGTTCTTCAGTGGATGCCACTGGGGCAGACTTCAAGGCTTTGGTGTTCCAATACATGCAGAACGGGAACTTAGACACGTGGCTACATCCAAAGTCCCAAGAACTTAGCCAAGGAAAGGTTCTAACTATTAGCCAAAGAGTTAATATTGCCTTGGATGTGGCGTTTGCTTTAGATTATCTTCATAACCAATGTGCAACGCCACTAATACATTGTGACTTGAAGCCAAGCAATATTCTTTTGGATCTTGATATGGTTGCATATGTCAGTGACTTTGGCCTAGCAAGATTTGTGTACAATAGATTGACTGCACATGAAGATACCTCAACAAGTTTGGCTTGCCTAAAAGGGTCAATTGGATACATCCCACCAGGTAAATAGGCTTCCAAACTTTTGACTCAGTTTGTTCTTTATATACTTGTACAGAAATTTTAAAAAATAGAGCCTAGCCTTATAGTTTTATAAAATTTAATGCAGAGTACGGCATGAGGAAAGATATCTCAACCAAGGGTGATGTCTACAGTTTTGGAATACTTTTGTTAGAAATTATAATTGGGAGCAGGCCAACTGATGAAAAATTTAATGGCAGCACAACCCTGCATGAATTTGTTCATGGAGCATTTCCCAATAATATCTACGAGGTAGTTGATCCAACCATGCTACAAAATGACCTTGTTGCAACCGATGTGATGGAGAATTGTATCATTCCATTGGTCAAAATAGGCCTATGTTGTTCTGTGCCACTGCCCAACGAACGACCAGAAATGGGACAAGTTGCAACCATGATTCTTGAAATCAAGCACGCGGCCTCAAACAGGCATGTCAGATTAAGCTAACAGCTGCCAGGTTCTATTTCATTTATAGAAGAATATACCAATATAACATCCACTGGATATTTCACTGTAAACGTAGTATAGTTAATGACCTCATTAGAAGCTTGAATGGTAGCCACAATGCTTGCACAGGCATCCCTAGTTTTTGAATGTTGAAACCTTTTATGGTTTATATTGTGCGACTTACTTGTTCATCCTCTAATCACTATGAAGAAACATCGAATTATGAGTCTTTGAGATTGGCTCCCTTCCATTTTTGCCATCTCCGGTGGCTACCGGACGCTGCCGTGGTGTATGAAAAACAGCATACGCAAAATGGTAGCTAGTGTTCTACTTGAATGACACTGGTTGTGTTTCAGCTACCTTTCCATTTTTCATTTGCATTCTGTATGTTTAGCGACATGCATGTTTCTCAATCCACCGAAATTTACTTATCGTGGCATTAGCATTTCGTGTCGTTTCTTTTGATATAGGATGATAATTCATAATAAAATGTAAAGCAGCATAAAACATTTGTAGCCTGGTTAAGGACTTGAAGTAAAAGAGTAGTAGAGACGTAGAGCGGTAAGCATATAGAATGTCATGCTGTAAACTTACTCCACTTCTATAGATGGTTTAGGTAGCCAGGTAGGCACCGTTCCTGCCAAGTTCTTCAAAAGCAAGGGTTGAATAACTATGAGCACCAATCAAATTGTAAGGAACTCGACCGATTTGCATAGCCCTCGCCCAACGGGATACATCAAGTAAGACCGTCAAAATCGATTAGGTATTTTGGCAACCAATTTCGTTGGGAACTAATTAGTCTCCGATCAAAGCCAAATTATAGGTGTTTGCAGAAGCTGGATTTGGGTCAGATTCCAAAACCCCAAGTTCAAACATGACCCCAACACGAAATTAGCCCAATGAAAGGCATAGATTGGAGACCGGATATATACAGATCAATCTCACACCGACCTAATTAGCAGAAAATCAGATGATAGATCAAGCAGATAGGCATTCATAGGACTGGATAGGGGGAGCACCTGCTGGCTGCTTGCCTGCTCGTGTTCCTGCTAGGCTGCTACTCTCGGAGTCCCAGCTGCCGGCGCCGCTCACTCCAGAGTCCCGAGCGGCGGCGCCGCCCGTTTCGGTTTCCCTTGCGGACTCGCCGTCACCTGCATAGGGCGCCGCCGCCGCCGTCGGCTGTTGTCGTGGGAGCCCGTCGCTAGGCTACCTCTGGTTGTGGTTGGGCCATGAATCTTGGGCTATCGTTACCATGGGAAAACGGGGAGTTGGGCCAGGTGTCTCGTGGACCTCTCTTGGCCCAAGTCAGCTGTCGGTATAGAGGTCGGTCTTCAAATTCTTAACCCTGAAGGAATTCATTTCAAAACTTGTAGCCAAGTAAAAATATTCTTCTTTTTTTCTTTCTTGAAATATTTTTAACAGAAATACTATATGACAGGAACCTAACTATGGGACGGCATACTTAATGATCCCTACCCGATGCGCTATCCGCTTACACCATACATTCGTGGCCCTCCTCCTCCTTGGCTCCTTGCGATCTCTCCATCATCCTTTTTCTCTTCCACCTCGCTTGTACATGTCGAGAATGGCTCACTGCTCCTCCTCCTCGTTGTCGACTCTTGCTCATCCTCCTACTCACCACTCTCTGTTGTTGCTCCATGCCCCTGCTAGCCTGCTCCCGTCATACCTGGTATCTAGGTACAAACATGACATGGCAGGCTGTGGCTTGCTGGTTTTGGTTGAGAATCTGAGGGCAGTGGTACAAGCAGTTGCACCGCTGTATGGGCACGGAGATGGCAGTGGCAGCGCTCGAGGTTTCGATGGCCGTGGGGGCGCGATATGGTGTTCTTCCTGTGATGGGGATGTACAAGGATCCTCTTGCCCTTCCTTTTTCTTGATAGATCTAACGGAGCAAGAGGTCAAAATGATCAAATCTAGAGCATCGATTGCCTCACTCGCGTTATGTGCAGATACATCGTGCGGCTCATCATCCTCGGCTAGCACCCGCAATTATAAGCCTTAGGAGCTGTTTAGTTCACATACTAAGGTGTGTTTAGTTCACACTAAAATTGAAAGTTTTGTTGAAATTGGAATGATGTGATGGAAAAGTTGGAAGTTTGTGTATATATGAAAGTTTTGATGTGATGGAAAAGTTGAAAGTTTGGAACTAAACTCGGCCTATATTGCCTAGGTTAGCCATACTTTCTTTGTCAAACTTGTCAAATGCGAGGCTATCAAAATCCAAGCCACACTTTAGCCAACAAAATTAAATCATGCCACACCTTTTAGAGTCACTAACATCTAAGACCAATATTATAAAAGAGAAATCTTGCCACACTTATGGAAGCCAACCAAACACCTATCTAACATGGTCAAACTTACTTAACCACAAATATGGCAACTTATTGGCATCAACCAAACAGCCCCTTAGTACCCCAGTACCCAGTACCTAGCTAGGTACGAGGTACCAAGCTGCTGGGAGAAGCAGTGCGCTGTCGTTGCCTAGCCAACCGACAAGCTACCTGCCACCGGTGGGGAATTTAACTATTTGCCACTTTTAGGTTTGCCAATTATCCAAATGCCCCTCTTAGGTTTGCACTTAATAATTTGTCACCGGAGAGAGATAATTTTTTAACTATTTGCCACTTTTGCCTACGTGGCGTGCCACCGTACCGTGCCAGCGTGAAAAGCAACGTGGACCCCACCATCAGTCCCTCTCCTCTCCTTCTTATCTACCTCCGATCGTCGCCGTGACCTCCCGCCGGCCCCGCGTTGGCCCCACACCGTCGTCCCCTGCCGGCTGCAGCGGCAGCGCGTCGTTCGGCCGTAGCAACCACGCGAGGTAGAAGGTCCACGAGGAGGACGGCGAAGGCGGTGAACTTCTTGCAGGTCTCGCGGTAGTGCCTCTCCGCCTGTGACTCGTACGCTGGTGGCAGTGGTGGCGTCCGATGTCCCGGGCGGCGACGACGCCTGGTGGTGGTGTCGGTGCTCGGCGACGACGTAGTCGACCACCGCGGCGGAGTAGGTTGTGGCGGCCAACATGGCCGCCTCGCCGGCCAGTGGCCCGACCAGAGAGTCGGCGTCGGCGATGAGGAAGAAGGCGGAGACGCGGACAAGGAGGGAGGGCGTCGCCGTGTCCCTCCACACGGCGGCCGTGCCGCAGCATCGCCAGGACGGAGAAGAGTCGTGTCGCGTCGAGTCGCCGGACTCTAGTGGTGTCTGAGCTATTGGGCGTGGCGGCGGCGGCCGCGGGGCGAGCGGGCGAGCACTGGCTGGCAGTCGACTACGGCCTAGAGCCAGCGGGGGGAGTGGGCGAGCACGGGCCGGCGGCCGACGATGGTGTGTGGCCAGCGTGGGGCCGGCGGGAGGTGGGCGACAACCACTAGAGAGAAGAAGGAGAGGAGAGAGGCTGACGGGTGGGATCCACATTGCTTTCCACGGTGGCACAATACGGTGGCACGCCACGTAGGTGAAAGTGGCAAATAGTTAAGAAATTACCTCTCTCCAGTGATAAATTATTAAGTGCAAATCTAAGAGGAGCATTTTGATAATTGGCAAATCTTAAAGTGACAAATAGTTAAATTCCCTGCCACCGGTGATTCCTCTCCACTTCACTGTTCCTCTCCTCAGCTCGTCCCTTTTTCCTGCTGCTGTTGGTGTTGCCCTGCTCATACTATGGATAGAGTTTCCTTTCTGCGCTGTGGATTTAACATTTTTTTTTTTTGGGAAAGTTCACCAGTTCTTCTCAAGACGTGAAATCTCCTTCTCTTTTTTTTTTTGTGGGGTTCTGATTTTTTTTTTTTTGATCGTGGTTCTCTCTCCCTTTTTTTTTTCCAGGTATCTTGAGCGGAGGGTGCACGCAAATGAGAAAACGGGAATTCGAAAGATCGTTTTTTTTTTCCAGCGGCTAACATATGTGACCGAAGCAACAAAAACTAATTTTAAGATAAGGGTTTAATTTGCATTGCTATTCTTACCTATACAAAACCTAAAACCAGATGACAAAACTGAGCAAAAAGTTATAAAATTAGTTACAGTTTACAAGCCGAAGCTAAAACAAATATGAAAACGCTGCAAGAGGGCTCGGTCGATCGATCTTGCATATGTACTACACGTCGATAGACACCAGATAAATCATTTCTTGCCTCCTTCCCGGTGATGCATCTCTTCTCCGGTGCCGAGACCCAGCATTGTTTACAGATTACAATCAGGAAATTAAACTGGTTGTGGTGTGTTCCGCAGCAGGTTCATGTTCAGAGCTTTGAGCGACCTTGCAGATTAACCTGGACCCAAATTAATTAAGAACCGGTCATACATAGGGATACAGGTAACTAACCCACGAATCTACTTATAAATCAACATAAATGGATTATTTTGATCAATAAATAGTTTCGCGTGTTAATCACTTACTCCCTTAATCATAACATGACTGAAAATAAAACAATTAAACGGTACATTGTACATACACTCATTGTGACATATTGCAAGCGAACCTGCTGGCCTTACCTTGAGAAGAACGAGCAGGGGGGTGTTAAGGATCAGGAAACGAGTCCACAGGTGAATGCTGTTGATCTTGACCAGGATTACGGCTTGGAGGCCCTGGACCAACTGGCAACCAAACAAGATCAGAACCAATCACACATGAATATGCAAATAATTAAACACATCATGTACACACACGAATTGTGGCACAGATGTATGCAATCGCGAATTAATTAATTACCCAGAGGCTGATGAGGAGGGTGTTTAGGATCAGGAAATGAGTCAACAGGTGAGTCATGAGGACCAAACTGCGGAGCAACTGGCAGCCAAACAAGAACCGATCGATATATCACACATGAGAGAAAATAAACAGTGTTGTAACAGATACTAGCATAGACAAGCGTATATATGTTACCTCGATGACTAGGAGGAGGGTTTTTAGGATCAGGTATTGGGTCACGAGGGCCATGTCGGCTTGGATCATCATCGGATGGCGTAACTGGCAGCCAAAGCGGAACCAAATTATGCAGTGCATCATTAGTATTCATTCCGTCTTAAAATATACTCCCCTGTTCCTAAATATTTGATGCCATTAACTTTTTTAAACATATTTAACCGTTCATCTTATTCAAAAAAATTTAAATAATTATTAATTCTTTTCCTATCATTTGATTTATTGTTAAATATATACTTTTATGTATACATATAGTTTTACATATTTTACAAAAAGTTTTTAAATAATACGAAATGTTAAACATGTTTTAAAAAATCAACGGCGCGTCAAATATTTAGGAACGGAGAGAGTACTAGCGTATTAAAGCCGTTACCTGCAGGAGGAGGCTTTGACTCGCTGCTGGGTGGTAGGGGACGGACCACGGCGTGGATGGTCAGTTCTATGCTTAACCCTGGAGAGGCTGGAGGCGCGACGGCCGCCGCCGTAGGGGTGACGGCCGGAGGATCGCCGGCAGGAGCGGCCGCCGGCGGAGTGGCCGCCACGGCGTCGCTGATGACGACGGGTGCCATCTTACTCTGCATTTTCTTTTGGTTGGCTGTACTGTAGTCTGTACTGGAGCACACGCGAGATAACTGATCAGTTGCTTATAAGGCTATTTATACATGCGTTAATAACTCTCATATATATATCTCCATCGGATCAGTTTCCCATGACACCGTCACACCATGGAACCTAGACGAGTGGCGTGCGTTTACACCAGGAATGTGATGTGGCATAGACTTCAAGCTCAGAGTCAGAAAGTACTCCCTGGAGAAAACAAATGTGGCATAGACTTCCAATTTTCAAAGTTCAGAGTCAGAAACTCGGTGGTGAAAAGATATGGTTTGTCGGGGGAGGTGCTGTCCTGCGGTCAACTATCAAGTGGTTTGCTCGTGCGTCAGCCTAAAACTCAATAAATTCAGATTTCATGGCGTCATTCAATCTCACAAATTAGCCCCACTAGTTACGCGGTGGATCACGAGCGTTCACATCTATATTTTCAGATTATTCTTTATTTTAGAGAAAGAAATGCTTGCATATACACAATACGCATAACTCTTATCCACGATACCCTACCAATACCGGTTTAGTAAAAACCGGCACTAATAGGGGTTTTTTTTTTTTTGTCCCATGGACTTGTGCACGCACTGGCAAGAGAAAAAAGGGTATTGATAATATCACATCATTATATATCGCTGGATTGCTAGTCGAACCGTCACTAAATACTTCTATTCTAGTTTTTTTTTAAAAAAAACTAACATAGTAAAATAACTATTCGTGTTGGTTTTTAGGAATAACTGATAAAAAAACGAGCCGAGTGACAACGGGGCTAAGCCGAGCCGAGTGAGGGAAAAAATCTTGAAGTGTCAACCCATCGCTCTCTCCTTCTCTCCCTCTTCTCACTAGTAAGTAGTAGTCCCCTCATCCTCTCCTCCGTGAGCAGCGGCCCCCTCCCTCTCTCCTTATGCTGCATTGGCACCCCCCCCTCTCTCCTTGGATCTACCACCACAGCTGCAGATCGATGCCTCTCCCAGGTATCTTTTTTTTTTGGTTTGTAGACGTGAATTAGTGCCGGTTAAGGATTTCCTTTTTTTGTTGGTGAACACGAATTACTACCGATTCTAGGAACCAACACTATTGGGGGATGGCCCCGGGCATCCTCCGGAGCCCATAGTGAGTGACCTCACTCCACCTAGGGAGCCCCAACCTACGCGTCGGTGACATTGGGCTAGCTCCAGCCCGAAAGGACGAACCAATGTCTCCTCAAGATGATAAGCTAGGCACCCTCCGAAAACCCAAAGGCTTCGAATAACTATCAATGCTTAACAAGACAAGGAGCATTCAATACTTCCACCTACCAACCACCTAGTTCTAGGACTTCGAGTGGTTGGGTTGCAATCAAGGACCTGGAAATCTTAGGCCCATCCTTGCCAAGATCTGCTAGGATGCTAGGATCCGCAAAGCTCTATTGACCCACCAACATAATGGGCCACCAAGGGCGGCCCCCTCAGGAATTAGCCCCCTGCCCCGAGGAGGGGGCCACTTGTCAATCGCCCACTAGCCAAGGCTACCCGGAGCCGTACTAAGAACCAGCTTTGTAATTCCCCATGTCATAAACCCTGTTATATAAACAAGTAACCATGCCTTTGAGCGGCAGGTTGTTCAATAAGTCTATTTCGCTCATCTCATACACACAAGTCTATTTCGCTCAACTCATACACAGAGAACTATTGGATTTCGTTCCAACAGCCTCCCCCCAACCCACCCACTCCCCCTCCCCCACCCCCAGCACCCCCGCGGTCCACAATGCTACTCCCTCCATCCTAATATATAGGGCGTACCTGCCCTGAACGCAGAGACCAAGGATGCGTACCCGTTTTGCTCGTCCAACGTGCAACGCTTCGCTTCACGCGCAGCCCTCGACCTTCACGCGCAGTTGTGCTGGGAGAGAGAGAGAAGCCTTTTTAACTAACCAAACTGATAAGCAAATATTGCATGCGTGTAAACGGGAGTGTGAGTCTTGAATGCTTGTATGCATATGTATGGGAACGAGGAAAACTTTAATGCTTGCATGCGTTTAAACGGCTGCCGAGGAGGTGCCATACGTCCTATATTTTAGGATGGAGGGAGTAGTGTTGTAGTTCCGATTAGGGAAATGATACTTATGAGGGTTTCTATGGTTTTCTAAACATTCCGAACTTGAGACCGCCACATCATCCTCCTATGTCACCATGGGGAGGAGAATGCATGGAAGGGTGGGAGGGAGAGAATCCAGTTGGGCAGTGGCTTCCATGCAAGAGAGATAATAGAGGGAGAGGAGCCGCGGCAGAAAAGAGGGAGTAACACGGGAGAGGGAGAGAATGGAGTGGAGGAGACCATATGGGGGATTTGGCTCGTGCAATTGATTGGCCAGCTTCAACCGATTTCACTATTGGTCAGGTAGAGGTAGTATCACTGTCAATTTTTAACGTGAACCAGCAACAAAATTATTTTTGATGGTGATTATAAATAAACTGGCAGTGACGAAAGGAGTTGGACTGATGGCTCTTTACTAGCGAATGCAATTTGCATTTGCAAACCGCATTGTATTAGTTGCACACTTGCACTTCCAGACAAATTAAATCACATTAGGAAGCGGTCAATCACTGCCTCCAGACCCAGATCGATCACACAATCTTTGAAGTTGTGTTTTATTTATTCATTGCTCAGAAAGGATGAAGCCGTGTGTCCATATTTGGTTTACTAGCAGCCTAGCAGGACTGCACGAGGTCAAGTTGTTTGCTCTTGGCTTGGTCAAAATAACCCAGTGGATAGACTTCTCACTCTGTATTGAACCGTGAAGCTTGTAAAAGAAAGAGACAGGTTCAGAATAATGAAATCAGTACGTAGTTTCATTGTGATAATGACCAGAAAAAGGCTATTTTCTATATGGCCAGCGTGGATGGACGACTCAATTTTGCGTTGTCTCTTTTCAGTTACACGGAAGACAACACATCTGTAATACACATCATTACACATGGACTGATGGACACAACATTTACTTAGCTGCGAGGGCACCTCTTAACATACACACACACACACAAAAACATTTATTAAGAAGAAATTGTAAATGTGTTGGGATTAAATACAAGACCTCGGGTTAAAATCATACACCTCTTGCTACTATTCTATCAAGTCACACGCTAAATAAATGTGACTTCTAGCAAATCACTAACATCACTAATATTGGTGGCTGCAGGACTTAAACATTAATGACCACATTACATGACTGAAGCTTTTGCATCAATTCCAACAAAATGTCCAAAACTTATATTGTTCAACCAAAATCAGTTTAGTTTGCAATATGTATTTTTTTACTATTTATTAATTGCATTAGTAGAAAATTTATTTATTATTACATTATCAATACTAGTGTTAGAAGACATACATGAACATACAATTGGAAATAATATAATTTGATCCTAGGTAGTAGTTGCTAACTACTTCCTAAAAGAAAAAATAATAATAATTTGCGGACTGCATAGTCTGACTTCTCCATTGTTCATGGTAGCAACTGGCAACTATTCAAGTTGCAAAGAGAACATATCTAGTCAGAACACCCCCTTAGTCCCCAACTACGTAAATAACTCAATTGCAAGGCTTACTTGGCAACTATTGCCACTTCATATTATACAAGCTTCAACGACTACGAGCCCCAAGTAACTTGTTTTTGAAAGAAAACCTCCAAGTAATTTAAGCAGTACAGAAATAAATAATAAATGGTAGGTAAAATAGTCCATGGGTTGAATGGAAGCCAACAGACCTGAGGTGAACTACAAAAGCGTGTATTCATGGATCATCCAAGTCCCCACAGTGTCATGGATTACTAGAAACCTGATGCAATACAGAGTATTTATGCATCACAGTGCAGCTATTGCAAAGCAAGTTTTTATCTCCATAGAAACTTAGCCACAGAGAAGCAATGGCCTGTTTGGGTGTCCTGTCTTCAGGCATTGTATGGCTTTCTCTGTTCACCATCTTTGTCAGTATACCATTAGCTACCAGTGATGATCATGAAAATGATCGACAAACTCTCCTTTGCTTCAAGTCCCAGCTCTCAGGTCCAACAGGAGTACTAGATTCATGGAGCAATGCATCCTTGGAGTTCTGCAGTTGGCATGGTGTTACTTGCAGTACACAATCTCCCCGTCGTGTCGCTTCAATAGACTTGGCATCAGAAGGCATCTCTGGCTTCATATCACCCTGCATTGCCAACCTCACCTTCCTTACAAGGTTGCAACTATCAAACAATAGCTTCCATGGCAGCATACCATCTGAGCTCGGCCTACTCAGCCAACTCAACACCCTCAACCTCAGCACGAACGCTCTAGAAGGTAACATTCCTTCTGAACTTTCTTCGTGCTCCCAACTTGAAATCCTAGATTTGTCAAACAATTTCATCCAAGGTGAAATACCAGCTAGCCTAAGTCAATGCAATCATCTTAAAGATATTGACCTCAGCAAGAACAAGCTCAAGGGGATGATCCCTTCTGATTTTGGGAACTTGCCAAAGATGCAAATAATTGTTCTCGCCAGCAATAGGCTCACCGGCGACATACCACCATCTTTAGGAAGTGGCCATTCACTCACATATGTTGATCTTGGGAGCAATGATCTCACAGGGAGCATCCCAGAGTCCTTGGTGAACAGTTCATCTCTTCAAGTACTTGTCCTCACAAGCAATACCCTTAGTGGAGAACTCCCTAAGGCTTTGTTCAACTCCTCATCTCTTATTGCTATTTACCTCGACGAGAATAGTTTTGTTGGTTCTATACCACCTGCTACTGCCATTTCTCTCCCTTTAAAATATCTTTACTTAGGCGGTAACAAACTATCAGGAACAATACCTTCCTCCTTAGGAAATCTTTCCTCCTTACTTGATCTGAGCCTTACACGGAACAATTTAGTCGGGAACGTCCCAGATAGTTTAGGTCTTATTCCAAAACTAGATCTGCTGAACTTGAATGCAAACAACTTAATTGGGCATGTTCCATCATCTATCTTCAACATGTCATCCCTGACAATTCTAACCATGGCAAACAACTCACTCATAGGGGAATTACCATCAAACTTAGGTTACACACTCCCAAACATTGAAACATTAGTTCTGTCCAATAATAGGTTCAAAGGATTCATCCCACCTACTCTTCTGAATGCTTCCGACCTGAGTTTGCTTTACATGCGCAATAATAGTCTTACTGGGCTCATTCCATTCTTTGGATCATTGAAAAATTTGAAGGAACTTATGCTGTCATACAACAAGCTGGAAGCAGCTGACTGGAGCTTTATTTCTTCACTATCAAATTGCTCCAAATTGACTAAACTATTGATAGATGGGAACAATCTCAAAGGCAAACTGCCCCACTCCATTGGCAATCTTTCCAGTAGTCTCAAGTGGTTGTGGATAAGAGACAACAAAATTTCTGGGAATATACCACCAGAGATAGGCAATCTAAAGAGCTTAGAAATGTTGTACATGGATTACAATCTTTTGACGGGTGATATACCCCCAACGATTGGAAATTTGCACAACTTGGTTGTTCTAGCCATTGCCCAAAACAAATTATCAGGTCAAATCCCTGATACGATTGGCAACCTTGTTAAGCTAACTGACCTGAAGTTGGATCGGAATAACTTTAGTGGAGGAATACCTGTGACTCTAGAGCATTGTACTCAACTGGAAATACTCAACCTTGCCCATAATTCACTAGATGGGAGAATACCAAACCAGATCTTCAAAATTTCCTCCTTTTCCCAGGAGTTGGACCTGTCACACAACTACTTATATGGAGGAATACCAGAGGAAGTTGGCAATCTCATTAATCTGAAAAAACTTAGCATCTCAGACAACAGGTTGTCCGGCAACATTCCATCCACTCTCGGCCAGTGTGTTGTTCTGGAGTCTCTTGAGATGCAAAGCAACTTGTTTGCAGGAAGCATACCAAATTCTTTTGAGAACTTGGTAGGCATCCAGAAGTTAGATATTTCACGGAACAACATGTCTGGAAAAATACCAGATTTTCTTGGAAACTTCAGTTTACTATATGATCTCAATTTATCATTCAACAATTTTGATGGAGAAGTTCCAGCAAACGGTATTTTTCGTAATGCTAGTGTGGTATCAATGGAAGGTAATAATGGCTTGTGTGCAAGAACATTAATAGAAGGTATACCTCTTTGCTCAACACAAGTTCACAGGAAAAGAAGACACAAGTCTCTGGTTCTAGTCCTAGTGATAGTAATACCAATTATTTCTATTGCTATCATTTGTTTAAGCTTTGCTGTATTTCTTTGGAGGAAGAGAATACAGGTGAAGCCAAATTTGCCACAGTGTAATGAGCATAAGTTGAAGAATATAACATATGAGGACATTGCCAAGGCGACGAATATGTTTTCTCCAGATAACTTAATTGGCTCAGGATCATTTGCAATGGTTTATAAGGGTAATCTAGAGCTTCAGGAAGACGAAGTTGCTATCAAGATTTTTAACCTTGGTACATATGGAGCACATAAGAGCTTCATTGCAGAGTGTGAAACACTAAGAAATGTCCGCCATCGAAATCTTGTGAAAATAGTGACTTTATGTTCTTCAGTGGATGCCACTGGGGCAGACTTCAAAGCCCTGGTGTTCCAATACATGCGAAATGGGAACCTAGACACATGGCTACATCCAAAGGCTCATGAACTTAGTCAAAGAAAGGCTCTAAATATTTGCCAAAGAGTTAATATAGCCTTGGATGTGGCGTTTGCATTAGATTATCTTCATAACCAGTGTGCAACTCCACTAATACATTGTGACTTAAAGCCAAGCAATATTCTTTTGGACCTCGACATGGTTGCATATGTCAGTGACTTTGGCCTAGCAAGATTTATATGCAATAGATTGACTGCCAATCAAGATACCTCGACAAGTTTGCCTTGCCTAAAAGGATCAATCGGATACATTCCGCCAGGTAGAGATGAGCTTCTAAACTTTTTGGCTTAATTTGTTCTTTATTATATACTTGTATGAAAGCAGAGCCTAGCATCTAGTTTTATAACGTCTGTAAATCTGATGCAGAGTATGGCATGAGCAAGGATATCTCAACCAAGGGTGATGTCTACAGTTTTGGAATACTTTTGTTAGAAATTATTACTGGGAGAAGCCCAACTGATGAAATATTTAATGGAAGCACAACTCTGCATGAATTTGTTGACAGAGCATTTCCCAACAATATCAGCAAGGTAATTGATCCAACAATGCTACAAGATGACCTGGAAGCAACTGATGTAATGGAGAATTGTATCATTCCGTTGATCAAAATAGGCCTATCTTGTTCTATGCCACTGCCAAAAGAACGACCGGAAATGGGACAAGTTTCTACCATGATTCTTGAAATCAAGAACGCAGCCTCACACAGGCATGCTTGATTAAGCTAAGACCTGGCAGGTCCTGTTTCATGTATAGACGAAGAGTGATTTCATAGTCCTTGAAGAGGTACAGGAGGTAACATATTTTCTAATGTAAAATTTGGTACCTCTCGGTACCGTACTACTAAATATTTTGGTACCTCTTGGTGCCTCTCAAGGACTATAAAATTTCTCGTAGAACAATGCACCAATATAACATCACGTGGATATTTCTTTATGAATGCAGAATGGTTAGCGACATTATTGGAAGATTTGGTGGTAGCACGGGCATCCCTACTCTTTGAATGTTGAAACCTTTTATGGTTTGTTCTGTGCGACTTATTCCTTCATCGTCTAATCTCTATGAAAAAAAAACTAGGCCGTTTTCGTGAACTGATGAGAGGAATTGGGAGAAAAAAGTTAAGACATTGCAACAGAGGAGAGAAGAGTGGACGTACAGTAGCAGAGAAGAGAAGTGAAGATTAGGAAGGCACCAGAGACAACAAGCATCCAGGTGTGCCACAAATAGTTGCCTGTAAATCAGAGCTCAAGGACATTAGGGAAAAAATTGGACAGATTAGAGAGAGCATACAGTATATGCCAAATATATAGACAAAGGCGCAATGCATGAATATATAAAAGCATTTATAATCAAGATTTACAAATCCGATCCCAATAGAAGTGTGGATGCCTCGCCGCGAAATCCGCGGTGTCGACCATGGCCTAGTGGGCACCTGTGCAGGAGGAGAATGCAGCAAGGAACAGTTTGGTCAGGTAGTTCCATGGCAGGGAGAATACATGGATTGAGATTGGGGGCTCACCGTTGTCCCTGTTCGCAATTCACCATCGCCGGCTCACCATAGCGAGCTGCAGAGAAAGGGGGGTAAATCCGGGGGGCGAGGCCCCAGGGGGAGAGGGTAGCCAGCCGCGGGCGTCGGCGGAAGTGGAGCGGAATGCGGAAGCCGGAAGAGCTGCCGGCGGCGGAGGATTCATCAGCCGCCGCGGTCGTCTTCTTCTTCCGTCCGCTAGCCTAGCCATCCTGTACGGAGGGGCGGCGATGTACGGGACGAGGGAGCAGCGTTGGAGTAGAGAAACAGGACAAAACGGACAATACGACATTCCTCCATCCTTAAGGGCCCTTTGAATCGCATGGTAGAAAAAACAGAGAAATAGGAAAAACACATGATTCTAACAGAAATTGAAGTGTAAAACAGAGTATTGCAAGACACAGTGAAAATCCAGGAATGGTCGTTTGATTGAAGCGCAGGAAAAACGCAGAAATCGGATGAGAGAGATAGACTCAAAAGAAATTTTCCAAAAGGTTGGAGCTCTTGCCAAATTTCCTCCAAAATCCACATGCAATGTGCCATTCCATAGGAATTTCATAGGATTTGAAAAACTTCAATCTTTTGAATCAAAGGGCCAAATAGGAAAATTTCCTATAGGATTTGAATCCTATGAAATTCCTACATAAATCCTTTGATTCAAAGGAGCCCTAAAACTTTGACCATGACAGAATACGCAAAGCTCCTTAAAACTTGTTTGCAAGGCCGATGTTATCAAATACATGTTATCGACTCTAATATTGAAGAGGAAAATTAGAAAGTGGATTTTTGACTTGACATAATTTGATCTCAGAAAATGAATCATCTAAGGCAGTCAAGGGGCAAGCTATAGCCAATTTTATTGTTGAGCATCGTAATGACTAAATCGGCTTGGTTGATATAGTTCCTTGGACATTGTTTTTCTATGGATCGGTTTGCACTCATGGTTATGGTATCGGTTTGGTAATCATATCGCCTAGGGAGGCAAGTTTTGAGTTTGCCTATACTATTAAACCTTATGTAAATAATAATCAGGCTTAGTATGAATCAGTTCTCAAAATATTACAATTGTTGAAAGAGGTTGAAGCCGATACTGTTAAAATCATGGGCGATTCTTTGTTGGTCATTAGCCAATTAGCCGGAGAGTATGAGTGCAAGAATGACACGTTGATGATCTACAATAAGAAGTGCCGGGAATTGATGGATAGTTTTCGGTTGGTGACAATGAAGCATGTTTCTCGAGAGCAAAATGCTAAAGCTAATGATTTGGCTCAGGAGGCATCAGGATACAAGCCGATGACGAAAAATATTGAGATAGAAGTCGTTACAATTGCAGCCGATGATTGGAGGTATAATGTATTTCATTATTTGAAGAATCCTTCTCAATCTGCTTCAAGGAAATTACTGTCAAAGTGAGGTTGTTGAAAGGCTTTGCCGTGGCAAGTCTCATTCGTTGGGACGTAGGCTCATGTGTTGGGAAAGTAGCGGAGTACGGGTAAAGTGTACATCCACTGCAGTGTGAGTAAACCAAATCTATTCGAATAGCCGTGCTCGCGGATATTGAACCCCGAGACATGTATTACACTTGGCTAGACTCTAAATTCTTAGGGCCTGTTTGGGGGAGCTTTAGATTCTGAGAAGCAGCTGTTTGGTAGCCAGCTTCTGAGAATCTGGAAAAGCTCTAAAATCCAGCTTCTCCAGCTTCTGGCTTCTTAGTTCATTTTTCAGAATCAGTAACTACATATTCTCAGAAGCTGTGGACTGTTTGGGGCAGCTTCTAGCAGAAGCAGCTTTTGGGAAAAGCTGCAGATGGGACAAGCTCCCCCAAACAGGGCCTTAAACTAAATGGGTGGGATGTTGCATGATGATTTTATACTAGTGGATCAACTTCTCGAGAGGCGAGAAGGGGTAGACCCCAGAAAACCATGACGACCAGTGGTAGGAAGCTATCCTTGGGAACACAATGGAAGGTGGACATAACCGTCGTTGTTTAATGAACAATGGAGTTAAAGCTTGATCAGTTTATGCTAGGTCTTAGGTTTGTGCACTGATATTTGAAAACTCAGCTTTACGCAAAGTAACCATAGCCACTCCTTGTATTATCCTGTACATTACGGCATTTTGTGTGGTGGCTTGCTGAGTACTTTTGTACTCATTGTTACTCTATATATCTTTTAGCAGAGTGTTGAAGAGAAGCCCTTGTTAGTACGCTTGCGTACCTAACAAGATAATCGGAGTGCGGTTCCATTTTAGGTCTCGTTCCCCAGTCGACTGCTTGTAGCATGTCAACCGGGCCCTTGTATATTATTTTGTCTTCCGCTGTTGTTCTCTGATAGATGTTGGCCTGCCTGGCCCTAATGTAAGCATTTAACTCTCTTAGCCTGAATTCATTCGTGATATATTATGATTCGGTTATGTATGTGTGTACTAACTACTGATTTAGGGATTGGTACTGAAGAACACATAAGATTTCTGATTTTCAAAATCGGGGGTCGACAAAGGGGGATGAAGGGGAAGAAAGGGGGAGGTGGAGGAGATCGAGAAAATGAGAGGAGAGGAGGAGGAGAAGAGGAGGGGATAAGGACGAGGCAGCGCGCGCGGCTCGAGGCAGGGATTTTCGTGATTTTTTTAACTTTGGTCCTGGTTGGTATAAACAACCGGGACTAAAGATAAAAATGTGCATGTGTGTTTTCAAATCGGTAATAAATATATTTTTAGTCCCAGTTTTTACTCAAATCGGGACTAATGTGATTTTTGAGTGACCCAACAAAGATCATTTCTCCAGTAGTGAAATAAGGGCATGTACAACGGTCTTTATTAGTGGTCTCTCTATTGCCATGCAAGTAAATTTAATGGCATGGAAGAAAGAGAAATGAGTATGGTTGTTATGCATGACAACGGCTCAGAATCGACTCTTAACATTTATTAGAGCAAATTTTCTAAGAAAAAGTATTTTAATACATTAATGATTAGATATCATATTATCTTAAACTGTTTTCGTACACTAGTCTCTAGATAACGTAGTGATCATATCCGACTCTATCTTTGTACATGCCCTAAGCCCTCCTCTATCAGAATTCTGGATCCGCCACATAGAAGAATGGAAGGTGATGACACGCCATCGATCTCTCTTCTATACCAAATAGAAAGGGAGAAAGGTATGGTAGAGTACAAAATGCAGGCATTAGCGACCATTTGGTGCTGATGTTTTATTTCCTGGGCTAAACGCCATTAGCGTTAAGCTTGTCACTAACACTAAGGCCTAGTTCTTTTTCTCAACTCCAAATTTCAACTTTCTTGTTTTTTTGTTAGTACACTTTTCAAACTATTAAATGATATGTTTTTATAAAAAAAAGTTTCTATATAGAAGTTGTTTTAAAAAATCAAATAAATCTATTTTTTCAATTTTTTTTTAATAATTAGTACTTAATTAATTATGTGCTAATAAATTTTCTCGTTTCACATGCACTGAAAAATATCACCAAGTTTGGGCGCAGCTGCCCCCGTTAGGAATTCCCCAGCTAGATTCATGTTGGCCTCTCCAACACCCAAGTCACAAGTAATTAATAACATTACTGTCCACATATATATAAATCGGACCAAGTTTACATATATGGCATATAAATCACGGGAGTTTCCTCATCTTGGACGAAGTGGATAGGCCGGCGCTTCCATATCCCTCTTCCACGGTTTCTACCAGACGCGACGTGGGAAGTGGAAGGTCACCTTTTGTCTTCATCAGTGACGGAGCTAGAAAATCTTCACATCAAGTGCTGAACTGATAGGAGTTTAAATATTTCCATAAATTACATGGTATTTTTAAGATTATAACGAGCAATTAAGGATTATGGAACCAGGCATAAGGTCAGTGGCGGATCCATAGTGTAAGCATTGATTTCAGCTGACACCAATAACTTCTCGCTAATCTCTTTGCTAATACACTCTAGAAACAAGAATTATATGTATTGACATCACTATATTTGAGTAGTGACCTCAATGACTCTATTTTCTGGATCCGCCGCTGCATAAGGCTGAAGGCCTACTGCCCCATAATTGTTTCCGCCCCTGGTCGACGACGCCGGCTACGTCTTTATTCTCTGTCCCAACCGCGCAGAGGCGGGGTTGGGATTGTCATGGGGGACCTGGGGGACCTGGGGGAGGATGTCGAGGATCAGGAGGGTTGTGAATCGGGTCAATAGTAGGCGTGTGTGGAATACCTGATGCAGCACCAAGG